ATTTTTTGGAATGATTAGTAATCTATTGTAACAGGATATAGGTGTTACTTTTCAAATTTCAGGTGAGGCTTTGATAGTGTTATACTTATATTTATCACTCTCTATGCAGGCCACAATCATTGACCCTGCTGATATTGGAGCCCTGGAAACTGCATTGGAAGAGCACAAAGTCAGTAAGAAAAAAGTCTTTAGCTTGCTTTTTTGAAGTTCACTATAACTCAAACAAATAATGTGACCCTGATTGTTTGTGAATTTACTTTGGTGCAGGTGTCTCTTTTCTTCACAGAGTCTCCTACTAATCCATTCCTCAGGTGTGTTGACATTAAGCTGGTTTCAGAGCTTTGTCACAAAAAAGGGGCGTTGGTCTGTATAGATGGCACTTTTGCCACACCTCTCAACCAGAAAGCCCTTGCCCTTGGGGCAGATCTTGTTGTGCATTCTGCAACGAAATATATTGGTGGCCACAATGATGTAAGTCAGCACATGTCGAACCTAATCATTTGGAGTGTGAATACTCAGGTTGTCAATTATTGTAAATACTAAGCAAGTATCAATATCTTATTTCAGGTCCTTGCTGGCTGCATTAGCGGTTCTATGAAATTGGTTTCAGAAATTCGTATTTTGCATCACATTTTGGGTGGTGCTCTCAACCCGGTGAGTCATGTTTGTGGGTTATATATGTTTCTCGTCTCTTATTATTGTCGACTGTCATTTTGAGTAGATTGGTGATGTTAAGTTGTACGCCCATGAAGAATGTAGAACAAATGATTCCAAGCCCACTTATTACTTTTAATGATTTAAGTCTGACATGAATTTTAAGCTTACATGATAATAATATTTGGTTTTTTTTTCTTCATCAACAGAATGCTGCATACCTGATCATTCGAGGCATGAAGACCTTGCATCTTCGTGTACAGCAACAGAATTCAACAGCATTGAGGATGGCCAAAATTTTAGAGGCGCATCCTAAGGTATGTGTTTTGTAAGCTTAAGTAGCATTAAATAATGGGAGGCTAACTAATTAGGCCACTGGCGTGTGATTATTGTTGGAAAGATTATAGTACAAAATTTTATGTTGGCATTCACCGCTTTGTATTTGAAAACTGATGTTATTGAAAATGTTATTGGCAGGTGGCGCATGTCTATTATCCTGGCTTGCCTAGTCATCCTGAACATCAGCTTGCCAAGAGGCAGATGACTGGTTTCGGTGGTGTTGTCAGTTTTGAGGTGAACATTCTCGGCGCTGTCCCTTGTTGGTTTGCTGTTATTATGTACATTTGGTTAATAATATTAGTTGATTATGCAGATTGATGGAGACTTGACGAGAACCATTAATTTCGTGGATGCACTGAAAATCCCATATATTGCCCCATCCTTTGGTGGCTGTGAGAGCATTGTGGATCAGCCAGCCATAATGTCTTACTGGTATTCCCTCTAATTCTTTATCTTCTAATTCCTTATCATATGGTGGCTGAATAAATTTGACGCTGTTATGCTATGTGTTTGAGTATGATAAATTGGGTAGATCTGTGATCTTGACATATCACCATATCGAGTCACTCCAGGTAATGTGTGTAGATCCCTAGTTTCAGGGTTTTAGTCTAAAGTTAATTTCGTAACCACGCTAGATGGAAGTGCATTAATTGGTTAAAAATATGTTTCTGGTAAAAGAAAAATTGTTATTACCAAAAAAAATTGTTACTATGGAAACATGATGTAGCCTGGATAGATGTCTACATGTTGTATTCGTGTAGCAACATTTAAAGCATGTTATGCGAAGCTTAACCAACTAATGTAGCCGAAATTATTTAAGTTGAACTGTTGAAGTTTACGGTAATGGATGTTTAGTTGAGCAACTGTTTGGTCCTTTATACATTGATATTGCTTGATTTATATAGGCGGGCTGTAGTGACGGTTAAAGGCCAATGATTTCTTCTGATTGCGGTGTTTTGATGCTCTTGAAACAGGGATCTCAGCCAGTCAGATAGGATCAAGTACGGGATCAAGGATAACTTGGTCCGTTTCAGCTTCGGAGTCGAAGACTTTGAAGATCTCAAGGCTGACATACTGCAGGCCCTGGAGACCATATAGAGCGTGGCCCGCCTAATATGCTGTTTTCTGTTTTATTTCTCTTTTCCATTGTCGTTGGTGCCTGAATTGATTTTGATCACCAAATGCTCTGTTCGGGTCCAGTCGTTGGGTCGTTGTCGACTCCATCCGGACCCTAAACTTTGTCTGGTTTTCTTTTGCAACTGCCTTTTCCAATACCTTATCATTCCAATATGACTAATGCTGGCTTTGTTTTTTCGTGTTTGGATGATTTGAAGTTGAATGAGAATTTTAGAATTGTTCGAAATGTTTTTCGACGAATGTGAAGTTATAAACCATGGTTGATTTTCTATTGTGACCCTCACGACACGAGTAGATATAAGCAAGAGTCAAGGATGACACTTTCAAGTGCTAATAGCAATTTCCAATTGAAATGAGGTATACATTGGTTTGAAAAAAGAGCATGTATAGAAGAAATGCTTGATTACATTGATACTGAATTAATTTTTACAACTAAGAGAATACAATGTATATACTATAGCCATCATGACTAGCTTGCAATCTAAGCTAATTAACTAACTAATTCGATAATAGCTATAACAACGCAGCCACATTCTCAACTGTCTAACTAACTATTGTTGAGCTGAAATGATATATTCAACATCCCCCTTAATCTCAACTGGGTTTCCCAGTTTGAGATTGAATGAATGCTTGAGAAATGCAGAACAATGAAATCTTTCTTGTCCATGTACTCCTAGCCCTGCTCCCATAATCAATTAATCCTCTGTTCTTGGTGTTTAAGGGTGTCTTCATGCATCTGCATTATCAATTTCATACTCATCAATCAACTTCCCAAAGAATTTCAGCCTCTCAAATTGATTTCTACACCGCTGTAGCTACTGTTTTCTTTGCGATAAGGTTTCCAATATTTCACAATCAACATTCCTAGAAGACCTTCAATTTTCACAGATTCCACTGTATTTTCAGACATTTTGATTACTCTAACCAAATTCTTCTTTGTTCACAATCGAGAATGATCAAACAACAAGCTTTACAATCACAGAAATCAAGAAACAAACCCATCTTCGGCAATCGGCATTCAATGAAGAAAGGGAACAAGAACTGCATTCCAGCAATTGGCCTTAATGGAGTTGCACACAATAACAACAAACAAAACTTTTCAAGAACGTTACTCCGGCTATCGGCCTTTAAGGAGTAACACACAATATCTGAGACAGAACTTTTCACTCCAACTATCGGCCTTATAGAGGAAACAAATTGCATTCAGCACACTCTTGGCAATCGACCTTTTTTGAGTGCACAAATCTCAAACAACCAAGAACTAATCACGCAATAGAAAGGAATGGATATCGGCCTTTGTATTCCTTCAACAATCTTGCAGAAAATGGCTATCGGCCTTAACAGATAAACTTGCATACAAGAAACCCTATCGAGGAAACAAATTTTTTTTTTTTACTGCGGCATTTAAGCAAACATATAGAGTGCAAAATTTAGTAACAAAACCTTAGACTCGAGCTCGTGATCGGAAAACCCCATCGGAGAACCTCCACCAAACCACCATGAGCGGAAGATGATGGCCACCAAGGAACGCACATGGCAATCTTTGTCATAGCAGATTCACAACAACTAAAGAACAAGATCAAGAACCAAAACTTCTTCGGCAATCAGCTGAGACAACCCATCAAACACAAACAGAGCAACAACACACTACGCGCGGAAGAACAAAGACGGAAAAATCACCAAGGATCGACCTCCGGCGATGATACCATATTTAACAGAAATGCAGAAAAACACAGAAATGCAGAAAGAGCATGTATCGAAGAGAGAGAAAGTGATTGATTACATTGATATTGAATTAATTTTTACAACTATGAGAATACAGTTTATATAGCCATCATGACTAGCTTGCAGCCTAAGCTATTTAACTAACTAATTCGATAACAGCTATAACAACACAGCCACATTATCAACTATCTAACTAACTATTGTTGAGCTGGAATGATATATTCAACATAGAAGAGAATTTTTAGTATACTCTAGTGTGTTCTATACGCTAGATTTTTAGTGTACTTTATAGGACGGTGAAAGGCCAACAATATTTTAGGGCACAAAATGTTGGGCGATCACACCACGTGTAAAAATTGAGTGCGGCGAAGATGAGAATGTTTTGCTGGATGTGTAGGCACACGTGAAGTGAAAAGATTAAGAGTGAGGATATATGAGGTAAAGTAGAAGTGTCAGCAATTGAAGATAAAAAAGGTCGTACCCAGTGCACAAGGCTCCCGCTTTACGCAGGGTCTGGGAGAGGTGAATGTCAGCAATTGAAGATAGATGAGAAAAAATCAGGTAAGATGGTTTGGAGATGGAGACTCGTGGCAAAAGTGGTAGAAGAAGACCTAGGAAGATTGGGAAAGAGACTTGAAGAAAAGATATAAAGTACTTTGAACTAATAGAAGACACGACACAAAATTTAACTGTTGCAAATTCGGATACCCAAGGTGCACTGGAGCATGCTAGAATTTTTGAGATATGATTTGGAAGCTCCCAAAGTTGTCATAAGTTAGAGAATTGTGTCAAATTATCAGAAAGACGGACCAAAGATCCACTTTTATAAACATCGATATTGTCTTGTCAATTACCACTGCACAGTACGTGTGATTTTATAACAAAAGACCTCGTGTTGGTTGGAGCCTTCATTCAAAGTTGTTATGGTGACGGATTTATCAAATCGAATGTTGAAACATTCTTTGCAGATTGTGGAGGATAAGAATATGCGGCAGAGGAGTATCCAAAATTATCAGTGCAAACAAATAGTTTGATTGGATTTTCCAAACAAAATCTAACATAAAAAACAATCAGATTAAAACACATGGAGAATATTCTGATACGAAGAAAATGCCAACCCAAATACTTAGGAAAAAGAAGAACAATCCAAATCCATAGCAACAAGAAATGCACTTAGAAAACCGCCGGCCACCTTTCCTTCTCACTTTCCAAATATTCGTACCACTCGGAGAAATATTCTCAGATTATCTAAATTAAAAATTGCTCTCTCTTAATATAAATTAAGTCAAATGTTGAATCATTTGATTCAGAAACAGCAAAATCCCGTGAGAATATAATCCACCAGTGTTTGTTGAAAAGCGATGAAATTCGGGAAGGAGTTCAGGACCCACCTGGAAGAGACACTCCCGGAGTGGAGGGACAAGTTCCTTTGCTACAAGCTATTGAAGAAGCTCCTCAAGGGCTTGCCCGCCACCGCGGCCACTATCGCCGCGGTGGATTCCCTCCCTCGCCACCTCGAGTTTCAGCTGGCATATGCGTATCCGGCTGCTGGTGATGGAGGTGGCGGTGGCGGGTTCCATCCTTTAGCGGGACTCCAATATTGGTTCGTTGCGATTTTGAATGAGGAGCTGTATAAGTTAAACGATTTCTATATGGATAAGGAGGAGGATTTCGTTATCGATTCCAGGTTCTTATGGTTGACCTTTTTCTTCTTATTTTCTTGAATTTGCATGTGTATATACATATACATACATACACACACACACACATATATATATATATATATATATATATATATATATATATGCGCTTTAATTTTGATGGGTAGTCCATGGATTTGGCTTTCATGTTATGGATGCTACAAAAATTCAATCCTTCGCTTTTTGTTAAAGGATCGGATTGGATAACTCACTATATTTACATATTTAGTATGTCGTATAAAGAAATGGAAATTTTGTCTGAATTGAAGGTAGGATTTGGAGGGAGAAGTTTCCTTTATGACGGGAATTTGGAATATGCATCCATTTCTTCTTTCAAGAGACTTTGTATCTAGTGAGTTATCCAATTTAATCTTAGACACTAAACGAGAGCTTAGGATCTTAAGATGACTGATAGGTACAAGTAGGAGGAGAAGGATGGCATCTGTAAACAAGTGCATTTTAGCTAAAACAAAAATGAGAAATTCATGTCCGAGGGACACCGGAAAGTGAAACTATTGAAGTTAGGAGGTGAACTGTTAGTTAATTCGGGCCGTCTTGTGAATGTGAAGATGGTTATGAGTGAAACTACAGAGATACGAGACATGCCATTGTTATCTGTATTCGTTTTTAGGCCAAGGATTTTTGAATATTTTGTGAAAAGGTATAGATAATGCAGGAAAACAAAGGAAGTTTTAACTATTTCATCATGATCAGGTCCAGTTTCGAGTCTCAACTAGTTGAATTTTTCTTTTGATCATTAAAGTCGAGTACTAAGATATCTCTCATGGATCAACGAACAAAGTGTAAATCGAAGTCTGTATTTTGTGGTGCTTGTTTCACTTTCTTTTTCCTGGTTCTCTGCTTATTTTGGTTGAAAATTGTAGAGTTTTTTGGTGCACTAGTTAAGTGTCTGGTAGGAAAATCATTATGATGTGATATTTTGAATGCGAAGGCTACAAGTACCAACTATCGTTTCTCTTTTCTCATCTGCAAACGGCAATAATGACAGGAGCTGAAGGGAAGAATCGAGATCGTCAGGGAAAGGAGCAGCAGGGGTGGAGTTTTTACATCAGAGACCGAGTTCAGCAAAGAAGTGATGGACATCCGTAAGGACTTTGTCACCATTCACGGGGAGATGGTGCTTCTCAAAAGTTATAGCTCGTTGAATTTTACGGGTACAGCAGCCACTTTTCACCTTCCATATTTAACCTGTATTGTACAACTGTTAGCATCAGTGAATTTCTTCATTCTATATCTGCGTTATCTATTGCTAAAATCAGCTGTGTCTTATGTCTCAACAGGTCTTGTCAAAATTCTAAAGAAGTACGATAAACGAACTGGAGGAGTATTGCGTTTATGTTTCACGCAACTAGCTCACCAGCCTTTCTTTACAACAGAACTTCTGACGAGGCTAGTCAGTGAATGCGAGGCAAATCTCGAGCTTCTCTTCCCATTGGAAGCAGAAGTCATTGAAGGTACACCAACCACACCAGATGAAACCACCCCAGACAGAAGTCATTCAAACCTACAATCGAATCATTCGGCAAATATTGCATCTGAGACACCTTCAAACATGGAGGCAAACATGGATATATATCGTGGAACCGTTGCTGCAATGAAGGCCATTCAAGGCCTTCAAAAACCAAGCTCCACTTCCGGTCCATGGTCGCTTTCAAATCACTTTAGAAGCCAGGACGAGGAGAGCACTGGTGCTGTCACTGAAAACTCTACTTCAAACTCTGTAGCGAGCTGGCAAAGCGAAGATGAGGATGACCAGTTATAGCAGCGCTTATCCTGTCGGTTTCTGCAGTACGTCCTCCGTGCGTCGTTGCAGACAATCCTTGTCCTTTCTAAATAGCATTTGCTTGAAATTTATAATGTTGTACTAAATTCTGCTCTTCTTTGTTATCTTCCTTTTTGGTCGATGAGTAGCGATTTTGGCACACCTTATTATATATAAAAAGAAAAGAAGTGCGTAAATTATTTTTATTTATTTTTGCCGTTTTGTAGCATAGCACAGTAAAAATGACAACTTTTTTTAATACCCTACTAAAAGATGAGCACACACTCTATATGTGTGAATAATTTCATTTTTTTATGTTTTTTTATTAAGGAGTGTGATTTTGTCAAAAGGTATAAAATTAAAGCTTCTTCAACAGCCCACCTCCTTCCACGTCCTCCTCAAGCGCAACCGCTTCAGTTCATTCAAACTATCCAAAAAACATCATCATTTCACTTACCTGTATGAAAAAAAATGATGGTGAGACAATTTCTCTTAATAAGTGCATATTTTTTTATCTTATGTAAATATTGTGTATCAGAAGTGAGGGTAAAATAGGGAAAATAGGGATATGATTGTTATTTTATCAAAAGATACAAAATTACTATTTTGCCTTCCTTATGTAAATATTGTGTATCAAAAGTGAGGGCAAAATAGGAAAAAAATGGCAAAAAGCTCAAACGATACAAAATTATTATTTTGCCCTCCTTATGTCAATATTGTGTATAAAAAATGAGGGGCAAAATAGAAAAAAAAATTGGAAAAAAGTTGACAATGAGGGTTCTCTTAATAATACAGATATAGATAACTCCAACAACAATTAGACTAGAAAATTTTCAATGTCACACGATCCATATACCAAGTGTTATAATACTGGTTGAATTTTTTTTTTTCAAGTATCCAAACACTTGTATTATAGGGAGTTTTAATGAAACACTCTCGGTATTGTTCACTTTTAACGAAAAACTATATTTTTACCTTTCCCTGGTACCATTCACTACACTTTCATTTGTCATTTTTCATTAAAACTAAAGTTATTTTTTTTTACTTTTCTTTAGTTTTTCTTATATTATAATACTTGGCGTACCAGACCATGTTCCTGACATATTAAAAAATCTCTCCTATTAGAGGAGTCTTGTCCCTCATAGTTATCAAATGACAAAAGAATGTCTTCATAGTTATCAGGTGACTAAGGGATGCCTGATCACCTATCATTAAGTTTGATCAAAATTTGCGACGCATCCCTTAATATCAAATTCAATTGTTTGATTAAAATTTGGTTATCTGGTGAACAATAAAATATTTATGCCACTAGAGAGCAGAGAGTAAACCCAACTACCAAGGAGACAAATTTGAAAGGGTAAATCATCAAAATGGTCCCTAAGATTTGCATAACTTGTCACTTTGGTCCCTGAGATTCCAAATCAATAAAAGTGGTCCCTGAGATTGTCCATCATCCATCATTTTGGTCATTCCGTTAAAAACTCTGTCAAGTGTCCCGGAGCACTTGGCCGGAAGTTTGGGCAATTTTCAAAGCTTCGTAACTCAATCGTTTCTTAACCAAATTCAACCCATAATATATCAAAATGAAGATAGGAAAGTGTAGAATAAGATTATACCTATTTCGAAGCCCAATGGTTGCCGGAGATGGCCGAAAAATAGCCTCAAAGTTGACTGGTCCGATAGAAAACTGGAAAACTTGCCGGAAACTGGGTAAACTTTAAACGTTCATAACTTCTTCAATACTTAACGAAATCAAGTGATTCAAAAACAAAAATCATACTTTTCGACGAGACAAAGAGAATGGTACCTTTTTCGATTGCCAGATTGTGAGTATCACTAAATTTTGATGTATTTATGAGTGATTTAATCTGATTGGCATCTGAATTTTGATGGAATCAACCTATCACTATTTTGGTTTAATCTGATCCAAAACCCCTTAGTTTTCTTGTTATCAAGTTATCGATTGCTCAAAAATTGTATGTGTGTGAGTAAATGAAGGGAAAAATAGAAATACTTGATATCAGTTTGCAGTGCATGTAATTGATTCATCTATGGGAATAAGAATAATACATGTTATTTCTATATGTGATTGATGCCTAACATAACCCTTACATGGGTAAGTCTGTTGCCTTTGATTTCCATTTGAATGGGTAAAGTAAATTCATGTAAATCAAGTTCTCAGCCTGCTGTGCTATATGATAATGTATAGTAAATATATATTAACTGAATTGAATAGCCATATTATTGGTTGCTGTGGGAAATAATCAATATGGATTAAAAATCTCGAGTTCTGCAAACATGAAGCAAAATTGACATATTGTGTGTTTAAATAAGGAATGAGTTGTCCTACATTGCTTAAGCTTGAGATGAACCAATGCAAAGGCACAAATATATGTATAAATAGTATAACCTTGTAATATCAACTTGTGTACATATGTTTTTCACCAAAGTGAAGAGACTTCAGGAACTGGATTTTGTAAATTATGAATTTAAAACTCAACACATGTCAATATTCTTTTCCAAGGAGAGGAATGTATGAATGGTTTGCGATCTTTTAGGGTATAACATTTTTACGGCTATTGAAATGTGGGAGTGCATGATAAGGATGCCCACGTAGCAAACATGGGTTTGCATGATGGTTTTGAATCAACTGAAATGTGGGAGTAAAGAAAGCGATGTTGTGTATTTTGATAGCATCTGGACCTGATGCTTGGCTTATCTTATTTTTCCCTGTGGTTATTGTAAATAATGCCATGTTGATTCAGTTTATAATATATATTAGTACAACTGACTGATGTTCCAAAGAGCATGTTGGTTTCGTATGATTATACAAGAAGCTTGAAAAGCTAGTATCTAGTGATTAAGGTTGAAGGCAACATAAAGTTAGCTTTAATATAAGGTACACTGGGTAATTGGCATGTATGAATGTGTATTTATATGTATTTGCATGATTGTCAGTATGCCATTACAATTACGAAGTGATGGTTTAAGATTGAGTTGCAGTAATAAATATGCATGTGCTGAATCTTTATGATTATTCTGAGTTATATAGCTTATATAACACAAAGTGGTATATGATTTTCAATTCAGTAAAGGAACATCCAAAGATGATCCATAAAGTTGATTGAATTGATTCATAGAAAAATGAATGTTAAGTTCATTGAAAGTTTGACATCATACAAATTAGATTCAAATGACAGTGATTTTAGAGTGCATGTGCCAATGAGCTGCACATGGTTTTCTAGAGTTCGACATTTGAACTAATACTGGTAGATGTGGGGAAGCAAGTTACGTGTAACTGGATGTGATCACTAAGGAGTCAATATTGTAATTGTGATAACATTTCGATGAAATGATTAGTTTACGTCCAAGTGGGAGAATGTTAGAAAATTAATTGGACTAAACTATCATTTAGTGAAGGACGAAATGTATTTGGTAACAATACAATTTGACGCAAGTTGCAAACGTGGAAAAAACTGCTTCCTATTATTAAGGAAATATGGATTTCAATTGTGGAGATAACTAATATCCCACTTATTTGATGAAACTGCTGTTAACTGACAAAAACCAACTCTCCATGATAGAGGAAAGTTGGTGAATGTTAATTTATATGAGGACTCCCTGCTTGTAAAGAAAAGTTCTGCGTTATTGGGTTCTATCACCTTAAGAACATTAAGTCTTTCAACGAGTAGAACATATCCTTTTCTTGTTCTGCAATGGCTGCCTCAGATATCATGTTGACATCTGTTAGTAATCTCGGAAACCTGTTAATATTATGTACTCCTAGTTTTCCAACATGGAACACTTGGTGGCCTCCTCCATTCTTTTATATTTTTGGATACCAGTCCACATGTTTTTTGGCCCCCAAATTAACTGCAGCGATTGAATGGGGGTTCAAGTTGGGTGCTGAGCTTTCAAAAACTCTGCTTCAGGACATGGACGTAGCCACGTTGGTTAGAATGGGATGTGTTATCGTTATGTACCTTAATCCCTTCTCACAATTTAGATTAGTGTAAAATAGAATATCACTGGTATGGGAAAAAAGTTGGAAACAAAAACGGCAAGATAAGGTATGTTCACTTTCCTTTTTGTTCACTCTTCTAAACAAAAATGAAGAGAACAATCACAACTTTGAAACTAATATGTGATGAGACATGTTTAGCTGCTCCTGGTGTAATCACGATCACAGTTGAAGGGTAGGGGTGAAGACTTGAACGCGCGATACGTTCCGACATTGTTCATTGAATGGTTAGCAGTCGATACCAGTTCAAGTTGTTCGATTTGGAGAATTAAGTTCTGAGGCTCTAAGAAGGCAACTATTGCAATCAAGGCTGTTCTATGGACGAAAAGCCAGCAATATCCGAGGTAAGATGTGTGGATATCCGAGGTAAGATATGTGGACCCACGTGAAAGGATAAGATTAAGAATGAGATATCCGAGGTAAAGTAGAAGTGGCAACAATTGAAGATCAGATGAGAGAAAATCAATTAAGGTGGTTTGGAGATGGAGACTTATGGTAAAAGGGGTAAAAGAAGACATTGGAAAGAGACTTGAAGAAAATATATAAGGTGTTTATACCATATTTAGGGCCTCGTATTTAGATCTCGTACAAATACTCAAGGGACTTAAATGTAATTATGGGATAAAGGAAGGGACAAATATGTAATAAGTGAGGAGTCCTTATTCTATAAAAGGACCCCTCACCCTCACAATTGGGGAGGCTCATTCTCACCATCAGAGGCCATTTCTGAAGCCTCTCACCCCCTCTCAAAGCTCCTCACATCCCCTAAGCTCTCTCTCCCTCTTCAACAGAGAAATAAAATACAATCAGTGTGGACGTAGCCCAAACCTTGGGGTGAACCACGATATATCTTGTGTTATTTACATTACTTGCGGATTCACGGTCGGATTTACGTTGTTCCAAGACCATCCGGTTTTGTGCATCAACATTTGGCGCCGTCTGTGGGAATCGACACGAAAAGTTATGTCGGTTCTCTCTCCATTTTTCACCTCCGCTGTGAATCTACAAAACCCAGGAACAGAAGGTCCAAACCTCAAACACTCATCACCTCTCTATACACTGTGTGGTAGAAATTCAGATAATCTTTTAGCAAAAAAAAAAAAAGAATTCTCACGCTGAGGCTTGTGATGGTTTTCTCCATTCTGCTATCTCTGTTCTCACAATCTTCCTACGCCCCTGCCATTGCAAAAATCACAAAACGCAGAACAAGAGACCGAGGGCTTCAAACCAAAACGCAGCGGATCCTTGCGCACGCCCAGATTCTCAACAATTCCACTGATGTGCTGCCTAAATCTCCCTTTCTTGGTCTTGGATTTAAACCCACAACAAATCCCCTCAAAAGCTCGCATTTTTACACAAAGCCCAGAAACCCCAAGCTCAGAATCCATGCTTCTCTGCTTGAAGCTCCGATCCTCTGAGATAGCAGGCTCTGCATCTTCTATACTCTCTTGAAGACTAGTTTGGCTGGATCTCCAGTTAGTCCACTTCTGTCAGGAGCAGCCGTGCAGGTCCAACCGCCTTGCCCAGAACTCCTAGTCTTCGCATGTCAGCGAATCATGTTCCATGAGAGTGGAAGCCGTCGAGAAGGCCTTCCCTGCCTCATTTCTTGACTGCAGAGAAGCTGAATCCTAGTTGATAACAGATCCCACCGAAAGATCCCGCCGACTTCATTCAGAGCAAGCGGCGAAGCTGGGTGATCAGAATTTTGGGCTGGAGAAGTCGGGTCTTTTCCGATGGTTGATGCAATTCGCTGGGGTTAGAGAAAGATTCGATGCACCTGGCTCATCCCATGAAATGCTCCTCGGTCCTTCTACATTCCTCAACTTTTCCAATAACTTTTGTGCAGATTTTAACTTTATTAGGAACAGAAGCGCATCCTGCACTCCCTGCCCTCTCCAACTATCGGCCCAGCGGGCTCTCTCTCTCTCTCCACATCACTGTTCCCTCCCTCTCGTCCTGCGCCCCATCCAGCCCCACTCCCACTATCTATGCCCGTCTCGCCGATCTCGATGGCTTCCATACCCAACCCCTGAGAGATTTTCTACTGAAGCAACATGGTCTTTGCTTGTGGAATTTGGGTTCAGTGAATCTAGGGAATATTTTTGGATGGTAACGTCTTGTCATCTAGTTCAGTGTGCCGTCTCCTTTAATCATTGCCTTCAATGCGCAAAAGCAAGAAAATCATCAAGCAGCTCTGAGAAAGCAAAAGTGGAATAAAAGAAAGAGGAAATAGGTGGAGAGTAACATGCAATCCACTGTCAAGTGGGTCGTCCACTGTGCCTAAGCAGAAAAAGAAAAAGGAGGAAGGAGATCATAATAAAGAAAAAGAAAAACATCATGATGTTGGGGAGAGAATATTTCAGAAAACAGAAAGCAAAAGAGAAAGCAAAAACAAGGAATAAACACCTCACCCGAATGATGTAATTTATTTTTATTATCTTTCGGAGACATCTGTATAAACCCCATCAGAGGGTAATATGTATAAACCCCATCAGAGGGTAATATGTATAAACCCCATCAGAGGGTCAAAAAAAAAAAAAGAAAAAAAAAAAAAAAAAAAAAAAAAAAAAAAAAAAAGAAAAAAAGAAAAAAAAAAAAAAAAAGGAAAAGCCCAAAACAAATGGGCTGGAATGTTATGTAGAGGGCGAAGGCCCAGAAACCCAAAATAGCTCCAACCAGGCGATCAAAAATACGTCAAGTACTCCACAATTATTCGACAACCTGCCGCTATTACCACCAATCAGGTGATCAAAAGTACGCCCAGTACTTCAAGTCATACATGAGCATTACTCATGTCAATCATACATAAACATTCATGAGCATCACTCATCCAATCATACATAAACATTCATGAGCATCATTCATGTCAACATTCATGAGCATCACTCATGTCAACATCCATGAGCATCACTCATGTCAATCAACATAAACATCCATAAGCATCACTCATGTCAACATCCATGAGCATCACTCATGTCAATCAACATAAACATGCATGATCATCACTCATGTCAAATCAGCTTCAAAGACTTCATTTACAGAGCTCTAGCTTTAAAAGCTTCATTCACAAGAGCTCTAGCTTCAAAAGCTTCATTTACAGAGCTCTAGCTTCAAAAGCTTCATTTACAGAACTCTAGCTTCAAAAGCTTCATTCACAAGAGCTCTAACTTCAAAGACTTCATTTACAGAGCTCTAGCTTCAAAAGCTTCATTTGTAAAAGCTCCAGCTTCGAAAGCTTCATTTACAGAGCTCTAGCTTCAAAGCTTCACTTGCAAAGCTTCACTTACAAAGCTTCAGTGCAAGGTATACAAATACCACATCCGAACAACCGCCACTTCGGCCCATACATGGATTCAATTTGAAGTCTTCAGCCAACAGACTCTATTGACCGAAGACTTGGGGGACTACATTATGTACCATATATTGGGCCTCAACTGGGCCTCATGAAAAATACTTGGGGGACTCTAGCCCATTATTTATGTATTAAGGAGCGAACCCTTATTCTATAAAAGGGACTCCCTCACTTTCATTGAAGATCACCCATGATTTATGTATTGAGGAGCGATCCCTTATTCTATAAAAGGGACTCCCTCACCTTCGTTAGAGAGCATCGCCGCCTACTGAGCAACCGTCTCACTGCGAGCATCAACTATAACCCATCACTTATGTATTGAGGAGAGAGCCCTTATTCTATAAAAGGGACTCACTCACCTTCAAACGCCACAAGCCGAGCCAACCAAGGCAACACAAGCTACAAGCAAAGCGGCCTCGCAACATGTGCTACTTCTAGTTGAGCATCATTTCAGATTGGGCACCGCCTCATATCAAGCATTAGTTCTAGACGACATCTAGTTACTTCGGCCCACACATGGACTGAATTTCAAGTCTCCAGCCAAAAGACTCTATTGACTGAAGACTTGGGGGACTACTGTTTATACCATATTTAGGGCCTCGTATTTAGATCTCGTACAAATACTCAGGGGACTTAAATGTAATTATGGGATAAAGGAAGGGACAAATATGTAATAAGTGAGGAGTCCTTATTCTATAAAAGGACCCCTCACCCTCACAATTGGGGAGGCTCATTCTCACCATCAGAGGCCATTTCTGAAGCCTCTCACCCCCTCTCAAAGCTCCTCACATCCCCTAAGCTCTCTCTCCCTCTTCAACAGAGAAATAAAATACAATCAGTGTGGACGTAGCCCAAACCTTGGGGTGAACCACGATATATCTTGTGTTATTTACATTACTTGCGGATTCACGGTCGGATTTACGTTGTTCCAAGACCATCCGGTTTTGTGCATCAACATAAGGTATTTGGAACTAATGGAAGACATGACACAAAATTTAATGCCTGCAAATTCTGATACCTAGGGTGCACCAGAGCATGCTAGAATTTCGAGATATGAGTTGGAAACTTCCAAAGTTATCATAAGTTAGAGAATTGTGTCAAATTGTGACAAATACGGGAAGGTCCACTTCCCTTATAATTACAACCTGTGGTCAATTATCACCTGTGCAGTACGTATGAGGTTTTATAACAAAATCCTAAGTGTTAGTTGGAGTGAGACTAAGAATTTATGATATTTAAACTTTATTTTCTCATGGAGACGGCCGACTTGGGATTACACATACCATTTTTGAGCCTTCATTCAAAGTCGTCAATGGTGACGGATTTATCAATTCGAATGTTGAAACATTCTATGCAGATTCTGGAGGACGAGAATATGCGTCGGACGATTTCCTAAAAAAATCACTGCAAACAAATGATTTGATTGGAATCTCCAAACAAAATCTAACAACACAACAATCAAGCAGATAAATCTTAAAAATTTGGAGAATATTCTGACAGAAGAAAATGCCAATCCAACACTTACCAGGAAAAAGATGCGAAGTCCGAATCCACAGCAACAAGAAATGCACTTTAGAAAACACACCCACCACCTTTCCTTCCTCAAATATTCCCACCACTTGAGAAATATTCTCACATTCTCTAAATTAAAAATTCCTCTCTCGTAATATAAATGAAGTCAAACAATGAGTCATTTGATTCACAAACAGCAAAATCCTGTGAGAATTTTGTCTCCCAGAGTCTGTTGAAAAGCGATGAAACTCGCGAAGTTCAGGAGGACCCACCTGGAGGAGACACTCCCGGAGTGGAGGGACAAGTTCCTCTGCTACAAGCTCTTGAAGAAGCTCCTCAAGCGCTTGCCCGCCACCACGGCCGCCATTGCCGCGGTGGATTCCCTCCCTCGCCACCTCGAGTTTCAGCCGGCAAATGCGCATCTGGCCGTTGCCGATGGAAGTGGCGAGTTCCATCCCTTGGGGGGACTGTTCGTTCCGATTCTGAATGAGGAGCTGAAGAAGTTAAACGATTTTTATGTTGATAAGGAGGAGGAGTTCGTTATACGATTCCAGGTTCTTATGGTTGACTTTTTTCTTCTTATTTTCTTGAATTTGCATGTGTGTGTGTGTGTGTATATGCGCTTTAATTTGGATGGGTAATTGATGGATTTGGCATGCCTGTCATGGATGCTACAAAAATTCCATCTCTTTCTTTTTGTTAACGGAACTCCGCCTTTGTAAGTTTATCTTACATTGCCGGTCCCAAGCTCGGATAAAGGAGGAGGGGGAGGGCGTCAGGTAGTCGACAGCCGGCACTCCATGATTACGTCGAATCCTTATGAAAATGAATCCAGAACGAAATCGCGCTAAAGCTAGGGCAAGAGACACGGGTTTTGGACAACCAATTCGGGTTCATGCCAGGGCGCTCAACCATGGAGGCAATCTATCTCTTACGAAGATTGATGGAAAGATATAGAGATGGGAAAAAGGATTTACACATGGTCTTTATAGATTTGGAAAAAGCGTATGATAGGGTCCCAAGAGACATTCTTTGGAGGATTTTAGAGAAGAAATGGGTACGAGTAGCATATATCCAAGCTATACAGGATATGTATGAAGGAGTAAAGACTGCCGTAAGAACTCATGAAGGACAAACCGAAAGCTTTCCCATAACTGTAGGATTACATCAAGACTCATCCTTAAGTCTTTAACTTTTTGCGTTGGTAATGGATGAGTTAACAGGACATATTTAAGATGATATTCCTTGGTGTATGCTTTTCGCAGATGATATAGTGTTGATAGATGAAACTCAGGAAGGGGTAAATGCAAAGCTTAACCTTTGGAGAGAAGTGTTGGAATCTAAAGGTCTTCGCCTAAGCCGATCAAAGACAGAATATATGGAGTGCAAGTTCAGTGCAAATGGAGGCCAAAACGAGTTAGGGGTGAGGATCGGAGATCAAGAAATACCAAAGAGCGACCGTTTTCGTTACCTAGGATCTATCTTGCAAAAGAACGGAGAATTAGATGGAGATCTCAACCATAGAATACAAGCTGGATGGATGAAGTGGAAGAGTGCATCCGGCGTGTTGTGTGACCGCCGTATGCCACTGAAGCTCAAGGGAAAATTTTATAGGACGGCAATAAGGCCGGCGATGCTGTATGGCACAGAATGTTGGGCGGTGAAGCATCAACACGTACACAAAATGGGTGTAGCGGAGATGAGGATGCTTCGTTGGATGTGTGGGCACACGAGAAAGGATAAGATTAGGAATGAGGATATCCGGGGTAAAGTAGGAGTAGCTGAAATTGAAGGAAAGATGAGAGAAAATCGGTTACGGTGGTTTGGACATGTGCAAAGAAGGCCTACTGACGCTCCGATTAGAAGATGCGACTATGGGACAGAGGTTCAGGGCCGAATGGGTAGAGGAAGACCTAGGAAAACTTTGGAAGAGACCCTAAGAAAAGACTTAGAGTACTTGGATCTAACGGAGGACATGACACAGGACATAACACAATGGCGTTCTAAGATTCATATAGCCGATCTCACTCAGTGACTTGGATTTTCCAAGTCTCCAACCGAGAAGTTTTCCTCACTCGGGAAATTAAGGGAACACTACCTCAACCTACATGCTCCACTCACAAAGCTTCAACATACAAGCTTCAACAAAAGAAAATTCAAAGAACTTAGCGAAGAAGGCTTTGGTGTATTTAACACAATACGTTGAAATGAAGGAAAGCTTATTTATTGATATCCTCGATAAGTTACAAATATGTACATATACATGAGTCAAAATAAACAAACAAGAGGGAGCCTTCACAAAGGTTGCTTAGGAGAAGTCTCAGCAGTCGGTAAAGCCCCAGAAAGAGAAGACACCGGAGGGGGATCATTCGGAGCCTCAGTACTGGACAGAACCCTAGAAGGAGGAGGCATCAGAGGTTGATCATTTGGAGCTTCATTACGCGGTACAGCCCCAGAAGACGAAGGCAATAAATGCCTTTGGAACAAACCCACAAATCTCTGATGATCAAGTAAAACCTGACCATCAGATTCCTTCATCTGGTCAAGCTTCCTCTTCATGTTTGTAGCATAGTCATGTGCGAGCCGGTGCAACTGTTTATTCTCATGCTTGAGCCCTCTAATCTCCTGTTTGAGACTCATCACTTCAGCTACCAATGATTCAACTTCGCGGGTTCGAGCAAATAGGCGTTGGGCCATATTAGACACAGAACCTGCACACTGAACACTGAGAGCCAGAGAATCCTTAACAGCCAACTCATCAGACCGTTTGGAAAGTAGTATGTTATCTTTGGGAGTGAGAATGTTCCTGGCCACTACCGCAGCGGTCATATCATTCTTCATCACGGAATCCCCAACGGTAAGAGGACCAGTAGGGGAGACGAAGGATGGGCGTCATATGTTGTCTGGAGAAGGCGGGGCTGCCTCTTCAACAAGGTTCAAGTCAAAACGACGGTCGGAGGGGCCAGACATTTTCAAAGGTGTTGAAGAGAGAAGAGGTCGGACAAATCAAGATCTTAGAAGTGCAAGAATGGAGCTTCTACTGGTGGAGATTCAAGTGTGCTTTGGAACTTAATGTCAGCCCCTATAAAAATCTGCACTCGACGAAGCTTCAGAAATCGAAGAGGCGCCTGCTCAGAAATTGAATAGGCGTTTGCTTTCTCAAAAGCTGGGCTGCTCAGAGACCACGAGGGTCGATCTCAGAAATCGAAGAGGCGTTTGCTTTCTCAAAACCTGGGATGCTCAAAGACCACGAAGGCCGATCTCAAAAATCGAAGAGGCTTGCTTTCTCAAAAGCTGGGTTACTCAGAGACCACGAGGGCCGATCTCAGAAATCGAAGAGGCACCTACTTTTCCAGCCTTGTCAGCACCTGTCACACGCACACTCAGCTTTGCGGAAATTATGGGCATTCTGTCGAAGATTTCTGGTGAAGTAGAAAGCACATGAATCGTACTGTTCAATCACCCACTTCCCACACGCAACAGTAGCTCATGGGTACCACAGATAACTTTGCCAAAGTTCTCTGACAAAGTTAAGACACGTGAAGCTTGCAACTCCCACTACATCGCTCTGACCAAGAAGGGTAAAAGAATAGCAAAGAAACAACACTAACAAAGTTTAGACACATAAATTTTGAAGGTCTAGCTACCATATTATTACCCATAAGGGTAAAGGAACAGTACCACTGCTGGATAATTGGAAAGTCCCGGTGTGTCAACCTATGTGCTCCGTGGCAAGGTAGACTAGCAAACATGCCCAACCTTTACTCACATTCGAGAAAACACTCCCAACAAGATTGCTTGCTCCAAAATCGAAGAGGCACCGCCCTCCGAATCTCGAGAGCCAGACTCTCAACATGATTACTTTCTCAAAAATCGAAGAGAGGGTAAAGGAACATTACCACTGCTGGATAATTGGAAAGTCCCTGTGTGTCAACCTCTGTGCTTCGTGGCAAGGTAGACTAGCAAACATGCCCAACCTTTACTCACATTCGAGAAAACACTCCCAACAAGATTGCTTGCTCCAAAATCGAAGAGGCACCGCCCTCCGAATCTTGAGAGCCAGACTCCCAACATGATTACTTTCTCAAAAATCGAAGAGAGGGTAAATGAACAGTACCACTGCTGGATAATTGGAAAGTCCCTGTGTGTCAACCTCTGTGCTTCGTGGCAAGGTAGACTAGCAAACATGCCCAACCTTTACTCACATTCGAGAAAACACTCCCAACAAGATTGCTTGCTCCAAAATCGAAGAGGCACCGCCTTCCGAATCTCGAGAGCCAGACTCCCAACATGATTACTTTCTCAAAAAACGAAGAGACACCGCTCTCCGAATCTCGAGAGCCAGACCCCCAGCAGGATTGCTTTCTCAAAAATCGAAGAGGCATCGTTCTCCGAATCTCGAGAGCCAGATCCCCGACAGGATTGCTTGTTCGAAAACCGAAGAGGCACCACTTTCCCAACTTCAAGAGCTGGATCTCCTTGGATAAAGCTTGTCTGTAATCTTCACACGCAACATCAGCTTTCCAAATACCATAGACCACTTTTTCAAAGTGCTCTAACAGAGTTAAAACATGTGAAGCTGGCAGCTCCCACTACCGTGCTATGACCAAGCAGGGTAAAGGAATATCATTATTACTTGATGTTAGGGAGACTCCTATATATGTCGACCTCCATCCCCAACGGACAGGCAGACCTGTAAAAATGCTCAACCCTTCCTCTTATCTGAGAGGGCACTCCCAACGAAGCCTTTCGAAATATTCAGCTTTCTTTCCCCCCGATAATACCTCTGTAAACAACCTATACTAGAGCAAGAATATCTCATATCATCAGGGTTAAAAGCAAGAGTATCCCATATCATGCTTTTTCCCTGTCTTTTCCTTTGGCCTTGTTTTTACCTGCAAGACAAGGAGAAAGAGAGCAATCAGTCAGCATTTGGAATCAAGCTTCCAGACAGGAACTGACTGCCTGGAACCCCTTACCTGATTACTTACCTGGCATTGCTCTCGAGTACTCATCTTCAACATCTTATGCTTCCAGGGAAGATACCGCATCTGCCTGAGGAACAGATAGGGCAAGTGAGAAGGATACAAGGAAGCATGTGGAGACAAGCGTAACAGCACACGTGCCGATACATCCACTACTCTGTCAAAAGCAAAAGTATCCCATATCAGCAGGGTCGAACGTACTCTAGATTTGATGGACTTGTTTTGACCCTCAAATTCTTCGGTCGGCCTTATACTCTGGAGGAAACCAGAAAACCCTCCAGCCCAGTTCAAGAATAAGCCTGTGGAAAGTTACTTATTCAAAAGCAAAAGTATCCCATATCATCTCTTCTCATTTTTCTTCTCTTTATCCTTCATGCTGCCTGCAAGATAAGGAGAATATGAACAATCAGCTGGAGCTCTGATTGCTTACCTTGTCTGTCACCTCTTTCAGCAGATCCCCTGCTCGGCGACTTGGGGGACTCCTACTACATGGTTTGTATCGCGCTTGACCAAGCCTGAAACTACAAGTAAGCTTCAAGTGAAATTGATACATTACCTTGTGCATCTCCACCAGTTAAAGCCACCCCTGGATGGAGGAAGAGTACTTCCAGAGAAGATGCCACATCTACCTATGAGACAGATAAGGCAAGTCAAGACGATACCACACTCCGGTACTTAGAAGTTTCGTGGTTACGAGATCATTCTCCCACAATATTTCTTAATGTCATTTGTACTAAATCATTCACTTGTACTCACTAAAGGAAAGCTTGAACCTATGTACTTGTGTAAACCCTTCACAATTAATAAGAACTCTTCTATTCCGTGGACGTAGCCAATCTGGGTGAACCACATACATCTTGTGTTTGCTTTCCTATCTCTATCCATTTATATACTTATCCACACTAATGACCGGAGCAATCTAGCGAAGATCACAAAAAGTGACCGTTTTCGCTACCTAGGATCTATCTTGCAAGAGAACGGAGAATTAGATGGAGATCTCAACCATAGAATACAAGCTGGATGGATGAAGTGTAAGTGCATCTGGCGTGTTGTGTGACCGTCGTAGGCCACTGAAGCTCAAGGGAAAATTTTATAGGACGGCAATAAGGCCAGCGATGTTGTATGGCACAGAATGTTGGGCGGTGAAGCATCAACACGTACACAAAATGGGTGTAGCGGAGATGAGGATGCTTCGTGGGATGTGTGGGCACACGAGAAAGGATAAGATTGGGAATGAGGATATCCGAGGTAAAGTAGGAGTAGCCAAAATTGAAGGAAATATGAGAGAAAATCGGTTCTGGTGGTTTGGACATGTGCAAAGAAGGCCTACTGACGCTCCGGTTCGAAAATGTGACTACGGGACAAAGGTTCAGGGCCGAAGGAGTAGAGGAAGACCTAGGAAAACTTTGGAAGAGACCCTAAGAAAAGACTTGAGTACTTGGATCTAACGGAGGACATGACACAAAACCGAGCGCAATGGCGTTCTAGGATTCATATAGCCGACCCCACTTAGTGGGAAAAGGCTTTGTTGTTGTTGTTGTTGTTGTTTCTTTTTGTTAACGGATTGGATTAGATAACTCACCATATTTAGCTTATATATGTTGAGTAAAGAAATGGAAATTTTGTCAGAGTTGATGGTAGGATTCGTAGGGAGAAGTTTCCAAGATAACTGATAGTCACGAGCAGTAGGAGGAGGATGGCATCTATAAATTTTAGCTAAAACAAAAATGAGAATATTCATGTCCGAGGGACACCTAAATTAAAGCTAGGAGGTGAACTGTTAGTTAATTCTGGCGGTCCTGTGATTGTGAAGATGGTTAGGAGTGAAATTACAGCAATACGAGACATGCCGCTGTTATCTGTATGCGTTTTTAGGCAATTGAGAAACAATATGACTGTAAGGATTATGTGTGGCTGGAACGATTTGTTGAGATAGAGTGGTGGCATCGATAATGAAGGAAAACTAGGGAAGTTTTAACTATTTCGTCATGAACAGGTCGAGTCTTGAGTCTCAGCTATTTGAATTTCTCTTTTGATCATTAAAGTCGAGTACTTTTTCTGTGAACTAAGATATCTATTGTGGATCAACGAACAGTGTGTAAATCGAAGACTGTATTTGTGTTTTGCTTGTTTCGCTTAATACTACGCTGTTTTCTTTTTCCTGGTTATCTGCTTATGTTTGGTTGAAAATTGTAGAGTTTATTGGTGTATTAGTTAATTAAGTGTCTGATAGGAAAATCTTTATGATGGGAGCAATTTTCTGGTCAGTGCAGAGTCATCTGCACAGCATGAATGTTGCAATGCGATATTTTGAATGCAAAGGCAACTATCGTTTCTCTTTTCTCTTTTCTCATCTGCAAACTGCAATAATGACAGGAGCTGAAAGGAAGAATCGAGAGAGTTGGGGAAAGGAGCAGCAGTGGTGGAGTTTTTACATCAGAGACCTTCAGGAAAGAAGTGATGGACATCCGTAAGGACTTTGTCACCATTCACGGGGAGATGGTGCTTCTCAAAAAACATGGCTGGTGGAATTTTAGAGGTACAGCAGCTATTTCTTTTCACCTTCCATATCTAACCTGTATTGTACAACCGTTAGTATCAGTGAATTTCTTCATTCTATATCTGCGTTATCTATTGCTAAAATCAGCTGTGTCTTTTGGCTCAATAGCGCTTGTCAAAATTCTAAAAAAGTACGATAAACGAACTGGAGGAGAGTTGCGTTTATGTTTCACGCAACTAGATCACCAGCCTCTCTTTACAACAGAAACTCTCACGAGGCTAGTCCGTGAATGCAAGGCAACTCTCGAGCTTCTCTTCCCATTGGAAGCAGAAGTCATTGAAGGTACACCAACCACACAAGTGAAACCACTGTTGAATAGTAAGTTGTGAGCTAATTAGTACTAGAGAAATAAAGCCTTGTGTTTTTAATTGTGTATTCACTAGTGTCAAAGAATGACAAGTGTAAGGCTCTCAATGTAAGGCTATGATTGTCACGTGTTAGAATCCTAGACTATAGGAAGATGAATAGCTGAGATCACTTTGATGAATGTGTGAGCTCCAGCTGCATAACCAACCATTGTAGTGTTCGAGTTGTGTGCAAGAGAGAAAAAATATGAAATTCTCCTCTGTGACTTGCAAAGGTTGAAGCATTCCAAAATCTTGTGTGAAATTCCTTTTGTTCTTCTTCATTTTTCATAGTGAATTCCTCAATCAAACTTACAAATATCAAATACACTAACATGGCCTCAGAGCCAGGTTCGATCAATCTAAGCTAAGCGTGAACCGTGAATTTAAGCATCACCGACGTTAGGTTTTCTGAGCTACATCTGGGCTGGCTGAAGGTCAGGTGAAGTTTGCCAGGAGTTCAGTTGTGGTTTGAAAATACATCTGAGCTCACAATGGCTGGATCTGGAAGTTCAGAAGTTAGGACTTCGATCTTCTTCGGTGATAACTACGAGTTCTGGAGAATCAAAAGGGTAACCATATTCAAGTCACATGGGCTTTGAAAATTGGTCGAGAAAGGGATTACGTTCCTTGACTCTGAGAAGAAAAAGAAGGTAGAAGGTACCGAAGAAGAGGTTAAAGATGAGCTAACCACTGCGATGTTTATGAAGGATGCGAAAGCTTTGGGCATCATTCAAAACGCAGTTTCTAATCAGATTTTCCCTCAAATCGCCAACACAGATTCAATTAAAATGGCTTGGGATTTTTTGTATGGAGAATACCATGGTGGTGATCAGATGTGATCGGCGAAACTTCAAAATCTCATAGCTAAATTTGAATATACTAGAATGCGTGATGATGAGTCTTCATTTGGGTATCTTACTCAATTAAATGAATTGTATAATCAAATGAAGACATTTAGAGAGATTATCTCAAATGAGAGGTTAGTGTAGAAGGTCTTAATTAGTCTCACTAAGGTGTGATCCTATATGCCTAGTGATAGAAAACACAAAGTGTCTAGAATCTGTTGAACTACAAGAAGTTGTAGCCATTTTGGAAAGTCGAGAACGAAGGTTTGATATGCATTCCACTGATGCAACTAAGAAGACATTTGCCTCATCCTCTATTAATTAGTCCAAAAAGGCAGAATAGAGGAAATGCTCAATCTAGTACCTTCAAGCCACAGAAAAATTGGAACCAAAAAGTTAAGAAATGGGACTTAAAACCTAGCTTTTAGCATAAGTTATTTGCTAGTCATGTACAAAATATGAACCCTTCTCAGACTATGGATCAAGAGAGTGTAAAACCTCAATGTAAAGTATGTTCAAAGTTTCACTTTGGTGAATGTAGGTAAATCCAAATGTCACAACTGTGATAAGTTTGGACATTGGGCTAGAGATTGCACCGCGGGTAAAATTGTCCAGAAAGCAAATTGTGCAAATCAAATGGAGGTGACTGGAAATCTCTTTTATGCAAACAATGTTGTTATTGAACCAAAGGTTGATGGGGACTAGTATATAGATAGGCTGCATCAATCACATGACAGGGAATGTAATGTTCTTGTGGATGTGAAAACAAATGTTGCAGAAAAAATTCAAATGCCAACTGGTGTGCTAGTGAATGTAGTAGAAATGGGATCATTGGTAATTGAGACCAATAGAGGCAGAAAATACATTAGATGAGTAATGTATTTACCTGGTTTAAAAAAGAACTTGCTGAGTGTTGGGCAAAATGGATAAACATGGGTACTATCTTGTGTTTGGAGGAAGGATGTGTAGTGTCTTTGACAGCCCCTCACTTGACAGTCTCATTATTAGTGTAAAAATGAAATGGAACAGGTGTTATCCCTTATCTCTAATGTTTGAATTGTACTGAAAGCAAGCATTACTCATTGCTGACTTAGAATATTAGGTCACTTGTACTTTGGAGGACTCAAACAACTGAAAGATAAAGACATGGTTCAAGATCGACCACATTTGGAAGAGTATGATGAAGTATGTGAAGGTTGTCAGTTTGGTAAACAACATAGAGAAAGTTTTCCAAGTGATCAAGCTTGGAGAGCTAATGCTCCACTTGAATTGATTCATGTTGACTTGTGTGGTCTTATGAGGAATGAGTCCATTACTAGAAACAAGTACTTCATGCTTCTCATTGATGACTCTACCAGAATGATATGGGTATACTTCTTCAAGTATAAATATGATGTTTTCAATTGTTTCAGAAAATTCAAAGCTATGATTGAGTTACAAAGTGGGTTCACAGTGAAATGTTTGAAAAGCGACAGAGGAGGGGAATTCCTTGTCCACTGAGTTTAAGCAGTTTTGTGATACTGAGGGCATCCAGAGACAACTTTCTTTAACCTACACTCTTCAACAAAATGGAGTGGCAAAGAGGAAGAGTAGAACAGTGGTTGAAATGGCCAAATCAATGCTACTCGATAAACGAATGCCATATTATTTATGGGCAGAAGTTGAACATATAGTAGTATACATCTTGAATTGATGCCCTACCAAGTCTCTAGATAACATAACTTCTTTTGAAGACTACAGTGGAAGAAAACCAGGTATTGCTCACTTAAAGGTCTTTGGCTCCCTATGTTATGTTCATATATCATAGTTAAGACATAAGCTTAAAGCAAAGAGTACTAAATGTGTGTTTGTTGGGTATGCAACATGTGAGAAAGGATATAAAATCTTTGATCCAATCTCTTAGAAGTTAATTCTGTCAAGAGATATTGTAGTAGATGAAAATGCAGCCTAGAACTAGCAAGAAAGCACAGAGAAGTATGCATCATTGCCTTATTGTGAGTGGAAAAATGTTGATGCACCAAAAACCGAAACTGTGGAAGATGAGTTTAATACTACAAGTAGCTTGTCACCAACTATACAAAGGAAAATCCCTTGTAGTCATGATGTTGTTCATACTTCTTCACAACCACTTTCATGTGAATCATCCAGCAACACAAGTGGGAATGTGAGAGACAATCAAGCTTTTGATCACACTCCTTTAAAATGGAGAGATTGAATGATGTGCTTACTCAATGCAATCAGTGCATTATGGAACAAAAAAAATAAAATGAAGCTACTGCTCAAGATGAATCTTGGATGAAAGCCATGAAAGATGAGTTATCAATGATTGAAAACAATGCAACTTGGGAGTTAGTGGACAGACCAACAGACAAGCCTATTATTGGAGTTAAATGGGTTTTCGAGACCAAACTTAATCTTGATGTATCTGTGTAAAAGAACAAAGCAAGGCTTGTTGCAAAGGGATATGATAAAAAACCAAGAGTAGACTATAATCAAACATTTGCACCTGTGACCAGATTGGACACAATCAGAACTCTTGTTGCTTTGGCTACCGAAAAGATTTGGAAACTCTAGCAACTTGATGTTAAATCTGCTTTCCTAAATGGTCTCTTTGAGGAGGTTTATGTGGATCAACTTGATGGTTTCGTGATCAAGGAAAGAAAGGACAATGTGTATAAACTTCACATAGCACACTATGGATTGAAATAGGCACCTAGAGCTTGGTATGGAGAAATTGACACCTACTTTGCACAATGTGGATTTGAGAAAAGTCAAAGTGAAGCAACTCTCTATATCAAGACAAAGGGAGAAGAAGAAATATGGATTGTATCCATCTATGTGGATGACATAGAATATACTAGCAACAGTAATGAGATGTTGGAAGAGTTCAAATGAGATATGATGATTAAGCATGGAACAACATATTTGGGCCTTTTGCACCATTTTCTTGGTATGTGAAGCATTTAAACTCACTCAAGTATCTTTATTCACCAAAGAAAGTATGTTGCTTCTTTGTTGAGTAAATTTGGTTTATATAAGTGCAAATCTGTCTCCACTCCTCTTGTTTCATCTGTAAAACTTTGCAAGGATGATGGAAGTAGGCCTGCCAGTGAAGAACAATACAGAAGAATAATGAGAAGTCTATTATATTTCACTGCTACCAGACCAAATATAATGTATACAACTAGTCTTCTTGCTAGGTTATTAGATACATCAAGGGAACTCTGGATTATGGTTTGGATTATGTGAAAGGAAATAATGTTGTGTTAATAGGATTTTGTGACCGTGATTGGGTTGGATCTCTTGATGACAGCAAGAGTACCTCTGGTTATGCATTTTCCTTTGGGAGTGGGGTATTTTCTTGGGCTCCTATAAAACAAAATTGCTTGGCACTCTCCACTACAGAGGCGGAATACATCAAAGGCATAAGCCACTGCACATGCAATATGGCTTAGGTTTGTACTTGAAGATTTTGGAGAGTTTTAAATTGAAGCAACTCCATTGCAATGTGACAACACAACTGCAATTGCAATTACTAAAAATCATGTGTTTCATCAGAAGACAAAGCATATCGATAGAAGATATCACTCCATCAAGAATGCTTTACAGGAAGGGATAATTAACTTGGTGTATTGTCCTACAAATGAACAAATGATAGATATATTCACTAAGGCTTTAGCCAAGGATTGGTTCAACTACCTTAAGGACATGCTTGGAGTGGAATCAGCTCAAAACTTAAAAATGAGTGTTGAATTGTAAGTTGTGAGCTTATTAGTATTGATGAAATAAGCCTTGTGTTTTAATTGTGTATTCACTTATGTCAAAGAATGACAAGTGTAAGGCTCTCAATGTAAGGCTACGAATGCCATGTGTTAGAATCCTAAACTATAAGAAGATGAATGGGTGAGATCTCTTTGATGAATGTGTGAGCTCCAGTTGCATGACTAACCGTTGTAATGCTCGAGTTGTTTGCAAGAGAGAAAACATATCAAATAAACTAACAACCACCCCAGACAGAAGTCATTCAAACCCCACAATCGAATGATTCGGCAAATATTGCATCTGAGACACCTTCAAACATGGAGACAAACATGGATATATATATCGTGGAACCGTTGCTGCAATGAAGGCCATTCAAGGCCTTCAAAAACCAATCTCCACTTCCGGTCCATGGTCACTTTCAAATCACTTTAGAAGCCAGGACGAGGAGAGCACTGGCGCTGTCACAGCCGAAAACTCTACTTCAAACTCTGTAGCGAGCTGGCAAAGCGAAGAGGAGGATGACCAGTTATAGTATTATCCTATCGGTTTCTGTAGTACATCCTCCGTTTCTGATCAAGGGAACGACAGTGTACGTAACAGCGTTCATCTTATTAGTTTCAGCGTTGTCTCGTATGATCTTGTTTTCGATTCTTGTAGCAACTGGAATCATAAAAAGGCTCTGAATTGTAAACTTAGCACATCAAATAAGCTGTGAGCCGATGGAGAAATTTATCATAGCATAATGTTGTGCAGTTTTCTAAATAGCATCTGCTTGAAATTTATAATGTTGTACTAGATTCTGCACCCTGTTACCTTTCTTTACAGTCCATTTATTATGTGTAGCGATTTTGGCACACGTTATTATGCATATAAAGAAACAGGTGCGGAAATTATTTTCCTTTGTTGCTGCATTTTTGTAGCATGGCACAGTAAGAATGACAATTATTTTTAACACCCTATAACTCCAACCACAATTAGAGGAGAAATTTTTTAGTGTGCCGATAACAATGTCCGTATATCAAGTGTCATAATACTGGTTGAATTTTTTTTTTCAAGTATCCAAACACTTGTATTATAACACTTGATGTACTAGATTGTATTCCCGACACACTAAAAAATCTCCTATTAGAGGAGTCTCGTCCCTCATAGTTATCAAGTGACTAAAGAATGTTCTCGTAGTTATTAGGTGACTAAAGAATGCGTGATCACTATCATTAAATTTGATTAAAATTTGCAATTAAAACGCTAAAAATGCATCCCTTAATATCAAATTCAACTGTGAATGTGCATTTTTTGGTTATCTTGTGACCAAGAAAATATTTATGCTACTAGAGAGTGGAGAGTAAACCCAACTATAAAAAATTCCACTTCTTTGTTGGGTCCTTTTCAAATTTGTTGGTCTTCTTTTTGGAAGACAAAGGAAAGGGTTGGGACCAATTGGTGGCCTCCTCCATTCTTGTCTATTATTGGATAACAATCTCTGGCTGCTCTATTGTTTAAGAGTATATGTCAAAGTTTTATTTGATGACTGATGTGCCAAATTGAATACAAGTATTAAATTCTCTTATTTTCCAATGGACGTGGTCAATATTTATTTTATTATTTTATTGGGCTTAGAGTTACATTAACTATTAAAAAATAATCAAAATTAATTGTTGTTTTTATTCTATTGGTTGTTAATGGGACCCATGTATTAAAAAATTCAATTAAATATATTTGACTCATTTGTTTACTGTCAAAAAAGACAACTAGAAAGTAAGTGTCAAATGACTCACATGCCACATTATATATAATATATCCATTGAAGAACACCTAAATTTCTTTTAATCTTATTTGGCATATTTGACATTCTCTTTGAAGATGGTCTAAGTGGCATCAACTTCAATTATATCCACAGGTTTTTGGGCCCGCAAATTAACTGCAGCTACTGAATGGGGGCATCAAAATGGGTGCTGATCTTTCAAGCCTCTGCTTCAACACGTGGACATAGCCACGTTGGTTGGAGCGGGATGTGTTATCGTTATGCACTTGAATTCTCTCCTGCAGTTTAGATTAGTTTAAAATAGAATATTGGTAGTATGAGAAAAAAGTCGGAAAAGTTTTAACACTTGATAACAAATCAAGATAGGGTATGTTCACTTTCCCTTTTGTTCTCTCTTCTATACAAAATTGAGGAGAACAATCACAACTTTGAAACTACTACTTGATGAGACATGTTCAGCTGCTCCTGGTGTAATCACGTTCATAGTTGAAGGGTAGGGGTACAGACTTGAACGCACGGTACTTTCCGACATTGTTCAAGTGCTCATTCTCCAACCTGCTCAGAAAAAAACATTGAATGGTTGGTAGTCGATACCAGTTCAAGTTGTTCGGTTTTAGAGGATTAAGTGCTGAGAGGAGTAGAACATACCGAAAGAAGTTCCATATGCCACGACGAATGATCTCTAAGCAGGCAACCATCGCAGTCAAGGCTGTTCTATGGACAAAAGGCGCTTCTCTAATTCCCAGTACTGACTGCATCCAAGCGAGTCTCAGTACAACATTCAACACCTGCATGTCACATTATTCAAAATTAAAACGAGAAGGAACGAATGGCACTCCATAAGGGCTGAAGAAGTCAGTTTGTAAGTTGTAATCCTACCATGGCTATGAAATAAACACTGTGGTTTGATACGAGGAGTTTGTCTCTCAGCCAAGGATTTTTAGAATTTCGTTGCAGAAGACCCCAATCGATGACAATGTCCCAATATGTACCGACAACAGTTGCCACAACTGAACTAACTATAGCAAGGATTTTCGATGTCATCCCTTCTTTCAGACCATAACTTGTTCTCATGGCTACTGCAACGATTGTTGAGAAGTATTTCAGCGCATTTAACCCTTGCATTCCATCTCTCTCCTCTATCAAGCGTCGCACACACTGCAAACAAAGAACAGTTAAAACCATACTTTCAAGAAGGAGGAATTAAAGAGTTTCGAGCGCAGAATACCTGAAGCGAACGGATCCAATAAGGAATAATTGCTACAACAAAGTAGAAGGATTTAAAAACGTGGCTGTCGAGGCAGTTGTGTGATCTCTTTTTGAAGTCCCCCCAACCGTAATAGCAAACATAGAATTCCAAACTCCTGAAAGCTTGAACCTGAATGAAAATGTACAACGTTACTCGATCATAAGCAACACAAGTATCAGTACACTAAACGAATCACAGGTAGTGTCAATACCTGGCTAGTAAGCTGATCTGCCAAGAAAAAATCCGGCAGGGTGACCTACCGAAAAAACAAACAAAATTTTAATGTCTTTTACATAAGTGTATTCGAATAGTATGTCCACAGGAAGAAGTTCGGCTCTGGTTACCTTATAAAGAGGAGCAAGAAGACAATGGGATATGCATAGAAGGAGGAAATATCGACTGGAACGATATATAACGTTGAAAGGACAAAACATTATAAGAAGCACAACCTGCAAATGCAATATTTCCATGAAAAAGATTCATGAGCAAACTGTTTTAACAAAGGAAATCCGTCTTATTGAAGAATCTAACTCTTACAATGACTAGGCCCAGGGGGACTAATTCTTTCAAGGCTACGAAGCTTTTTGTTCTTGGATCCAACTCCATATCCAAAGTTGAGATGACACCAGCCAATGCGAGAATTGCAATACCTGAACTGAGAAGGCAAAGCTGTCTGTAACCAATCTCTGACCCTTGCTTGAAGCCAAAGATAAATGGATAATTTACACGATAGCGCCTCCAAAAGAATATGTTCGCTGAGAACATGATCAGATGTAGGACAATGAATCCAAACAGGCTGCAAAAGTGGGGAAATGAATGATCGTCACGAAACAAATAGCTATGCAGGTTTAAATTTCTCCACAGATGTAGATATGATGAGATAACTATTATGCAAACACTTGCCTGTACAGGGGAAATATGTTTTCCATGTACAGAACACGCCCGTCACTCTCAAGGATATTTCTTGCATGCATAAGCACAATGATGGCTACTACAAGTGCAATGGAGCCCCCGGAGAGCAACCCTGTGGGTACACAACAAATGATCATCGATATCTTGCATAAGGTCCACTCGATATGGAAACCAAGAGAGAACAAATAACTTTTCATTCAGACAGCACAAATCTTACCCAAGAAAAATGTACTTCTATGCTTTTCCCTTCTAGCTTTCGGCCTTAATGTCTTCATTCCTTTTCTTCGATTTCCATTTGCGAAGTGCTTTATGAAGGTAGTCTCCACCCTTTCCATAAGCCTAGTAACCTGAGAAGCCGAAAGATGTATCATAAAAAAAAAAGCTTTAGACGGGCAATGGTTTGGAGTCATAGTAATCGTTTGGATCATAAGAAAAAGATTTACTCACTTCATCGCTGCTACTGAGATAAGAATTATCCACCATATTCAAGTAAACCTTCGATGCATTCCTTGAAGAGAACTGCACTAACACACGGTTAGTATGATTGAAACATTAAATATATAACTTCAATTTGGAATGGATGAATCGGAAACAAAGCGATCAAACCTTGTCATATTTCTTCACGATCTTTGAGAAAGCCAATTGATTAAGGAAACTGCACCATCCATTAGCAACATAATCAATCATACATAACACTAATTTTAGTTTTAATATTAATGTAATCAGGAACTGCAATGTTACCAGTAGCTTTTTAAAAGCCGGAGCTTTTGATAGAACTCACTAAAAGCCTGTCTCATTTGCTCTTCTACTTTCCTCAGCTGTTTCTTGCTGAATGATAAGTAATTCTGCTGGAATATGCTTTTAATTGTTGACACTGGAGTTTCAGGTATCATGTTGATCTTTATATGATCTAGAACCTCTAGTTGTGGTGGTTTAAGCCCCTGAATATCCACCGTCCCTCTGTTGGCTTTCCAGTCATCGGTTTCCGATTCTTTGCCTCCCCTCTCTTCATCATCTTCCATTTCTTCTTCATCGCTCATCTCAACTTCGTTAATCACATCCATATCTTCTCCCCCTTCACAATCATAACCAGTACTTCAAAATATTAGGCAAAAAAAGAAAAACATATCATATATGTTACTAATTACAAATCTTATGCGCCTCTTTTCACCTTCTGCACTCCTCTTAATTATGTTATTGATTCTCCTTGTTCAGTTACAGCTCCGTAAAAAGATGGGAGTGCAGAAGGTGAAAAGGGGAATTCGGAAAATCACTTTCCCCCCCAAGTGAACTAAAAAAACTACACACAAAATTTCAAACTCTCAATCACGGAATCTACTAAGAAAACAAGAGAATCGGAAAACCTACCTGTTTTTCTACCACTTGTGGGATGAACTGCTGAGACTGAAGAAATCCCATTGCTTGCCAAATCACTCCCTCCAATATCCACCTCTGGATTATCAACCTTTAACCTAAGAGCAATCAAAGCATCCATCTGCCTATTCAACTCCTCAGCCTCCTCCACGACTTCCCCAACTTTCTTCTTGTAAAAGCAATTCACCTTGTTAAACTCATCGTCCAGGCTCCTAAAAAACACAACCTCAAACTCTCCTCCCTCGTCGGCCGGCATCAAAAACCTTGTCTGCCACTGCCCTTCCTCACCTTCTTCACCCACAAGTATCTCCTCGTCCTCCTTCTTCCTCAGCGAGCCCCGTTGCCGGCTTGTCAGCCCGCTGAATGCTCTATAGAGTGACACCCTCCTCTTTAGTGTCGACCCTGCCGAAGTCGCCGCCATTGGCGTCGATGATGCATTTTTCTTCCGGAAACGCAGGATGTCTTTTAAGATAAGCTTGAGAGAGTTGTAGTCCATGTATGCATCTTGCCATTCCGGCACCATTTGCGAAACAAACTCTTTTCCGAACTTCATCTTCTTCCTCCTCTAATGAAGCCCTCAATGAGTATGTAGCTCACTTGATTACAAACATTCACTCCTGCACCCGAGTTCTCGAGTTCGCTTAAAACAAAAGAAGCTCAGAGATGGTGATGTTGGAGCTTTGTTTTATTTAGGAAAGCGCGTTGCATTCTTGCTTTTTTGTACATTGCTTCTGGTCAAATGTCAGATTGGAGGAAGAAGACGTGCCATACATGTAAGGAAGGTTGTCTCGTATCAAAATCACATGTAGAATTCTTTATTTTTGGAAGCTTCTCTACTAAAGTTTTTATTTTTTTTAAATCTACGAACGAGAATAGACTCAATGCAAGTGAGCAAGCAAACTACGGGCTGATTTGGTATTGCTGTGCTTTGAAAAAAAGCTGCTGTGATAATAAGCGGTTGTGCTGTGAGAATAAGCGGCTGTGAAAAAAATCAGCAGAGTGTTTGGTAAACTTTTTTGTAAAAGTGCTTTTGAAAAAAAAAAAGCAGTCTGATAGTGGATCTTTTCATTAAAGGAGCAGTATAGCTCCGTGTGCTTTGAAAAAAAAGTCAGTTTTCCAAAGCTGCAAATAGCAGCTTCAGCTTTTTCCTTTGATTTCAGCTTATTCTCACAGCAGCTTCCAAAATAAGCAATTTTTTTTTCAGTTTACCAAACACCTAAAACCCTCACAGCTTTTTTTCATGGGTGATTTTTTTTTAAGCACCTCACTCCCAAACCACCCCTACCTTAAGTTGTCTAACCTAACCCACGTCCGTCGATATTAAATATCGGTCACTACCTTGCTCCTTTGTTATTTACATGTTGCAACCACACCTCACACCTGTGGCCCTGCTTTTTGTTGTCTTCAATGGATGGATTTTTGCAACAGAAAAAGGTTCAATAAAGTGAAAATAGTGTTTGGTTGGCAAGAAAATGATGCATATGATATGAATGCAACTTTACCTGTAGTCACGGATTTATGTTGTTACCAAATGCTATTTCAGTGGATGACAGATGACAAATTTGCACGCATTATGCCTTTAATTGTGCGTAAGACGAATGTTGTCAATGACGTAACATGAGTAAGTCTACTTGATTAAGACTAGATTATATTTAATTAGCTGTCTTTTCAACGTTTCCTTCCAAGATTTGATCTTTAATTTGATTCGTTCTTTACGAGTCGTTTTCTCTTGTGAACACTTGAGTTGCACAAAAATGAACTTAAATGGTCCAACTCTCGAACAGGGATAATTATTGTTAGTCATTTGAGTTAAAAAAAAAATAGTTAATGAACGTAACATAATCAGATAATATATATACAGGATATGATGAACATTTGTTGTATTAATTTGGTTAGGTAATATACACACACATTGATGACACCGCCAAATCTTTCTGTGGATTGCTTCTTTCACCTGACACAAATTCACTATCAATTTTACGTCAAGCAATACGTGGAGTAACTCCTTTTTTTCTTTAGATTTGGCGAGCATCTGAAATAAACTAATTTTTCTCAATCTTTCGTCCTTGATTCCAATAATATATTTACAATAAATGGTGAAGATATCAAACTCGCAATCTGAAAAATTCGAACTTCAAACTTTTCACTTAAAATTTCTACTCTTATTCAGTAGATATTGTCTTCGTTTTAAAAAGAAAATTGTTAATTTAGTTGCCTAACCAATAATTAAGTATGGTAGTTGGACGGTGTTTTGACGGAGGGCACGACTATAAACTGTCAGATATGCATTAGGATTTAAATAATGTGATTTGGTAATTAGGTTTAATTAATGTAATTTGGTAAGACAAGTTGTGCACTTTTGCACCAAATGTGATTGTATATAATTATAGGTGGGACATGCACATTCACATTGCCAACTGTAAATGCAATCTTATCCGTCCATCTAATAATCATAATCATAATCAAAATCAACCTTCCAAAATTAATATGCCAATTTGAAAATTCTATGGTAGGCCAAAGCAAACAAGCATAATGTCGCCACAAAAAGCAACTTTGAGGGGTTTTTTTTTTTTCTTTTACCCGATATTTTAATTAAGGGTTGTGATTTTCACACATCCTTAACTACTTTTCCCACACCCCTCTCTATTTTTAATAGTTAATTGGTATCCTACTATTTAATCTTCCATATATACTCTTCCTACTTTTTTATGGTAATTAATGAAAAATTAAATAGGGAGGGGTATATATGGAAGATTAAATAGTAGGATACCAATTAAGTACTAAAAAATAGGAAGGGGTGTGGGAAAAGTAGTTAAGGGTGTGTGAAAATCACAACCCTTTAATTAATATATTATGGAAAGTCCTAAGAAGGCAGAGATGTGTACATATCATATTAATTAATAAATTTATTTTATTACAAGTTAATTGTATGATCACTTGCCGCATGTAATGATATACAAATGTGATATAAATATGTTATTTCCTTAACATTACTCTTCTAATTTGTAGAGATGAGAATTTGAGCATGAATGTTAGACATTCACATGATGTATTTCTTGTTTTTTTTTCTAAATAAATATCTAGGATCGACGAACAAGGCCATCCAACATTAATGATTTGGCTAAGTTAGCTAGATGAGTGTGCTCTTCTTTTATGCACTAAGTTCGATTGGCTCACCATCATTTAGATGTAAATTATGATATCATTTGCCAGAGAAGTGAGCTGACATTTGTGATCTGATTTTAACAAATGACCTTTTGTTGGGGGACGATAAAGCAAAATTAGGATGTATGGAAATCAAACATAAAATTCATTGATAAACCTATATATATATATATATATATATATATATATATATATATATATATATATATATATATATATATTTTAATCAATTTAAATTACAAACTTTTACAAGTTTAATCAGATTCTAAATTTAGACTTCATATGTGTTACACTAGTACAAAAATATCAAGTGGATTTACTTAGCTTTTCTACATGGTGAGGTTGACATAGTGTGAATAAGAAGTTTCATTAATATATTTTGTTCTTGCCCAAAAAAGACATTAGCAATACATCAAGGGTTTTATACACACACCAATTTTATGAAGACACCCTACATCCAAAAAATCCTAACTTTGTCCCTCATTCTTCTAAAGACACCCCTACATCTCCTCCCCAAAAACAAAAGAGCATTCCAAACTGCCCCAATTCGACGACCAAGCATCTCTGGTTACCTCCGTCATCAACGTTGGTATGGCCCATCACCTACCCGAATACGCCTTCACCTCTATCACCTCTGTCGCTGAAGTCGTCGTCCTACACTTGCCACCACATCTCAACCCCTCTCTGTTTTCACCTCTATCAACAACCACGTCATATGATTTAAGTAGATAGTATCTCTAACACTATGTTTGGATGAAGAAATTTAAGATTACTAAGGAATTTCAAAATGATGGAAATTAAAATGACATGATTTTATTTTCTAGAATTTGTGAATTTTCTTGTTTGGTTAACCTAAAAGAACAATAGAATTGAATACGTAATTTGTTATTTTTAAACTCTCAATCATAGAAATTAAGAAATGATACATATTTACATAGAATTTAAACTTGGGAATTAGAGGTCCCAATTTCCAAGTTTTTTTCCATGCGAAAATTTTAAATTTCTATGGTTATGAATCCAAACAAGGGAATTGGTGCATATCAATTTATAAATTCTGATTTTTATCACAAATTCCAAGTTTATTTCCCGCATCCAAACATAGTGTAACATTATATTTTATAAATTGTAGGGTGTTAATAGAATAACTAAAAGGGAACCAAAATGAGCTGACATGTCGGCACCTGATTGGTTCCGTGATACCAACCAAAAGAGCGTTTTACAGTTTACTCTCAGAAACCCAGACGTTAACAAACAAAACGGATCTCCACCACCGTTTGGAGAGAAGCTAAAAAATTCCGACCAAAAATCTTCCAAATTCCTCCATCGGAGCCACCACCCACGGCCGGGGTTTCTCTTTCTGGCTCAAAATGTCGCGAATCAATTTTAGTATAATTCTGATTCTGGGGTTAATGTCGACGGTGGTGCATTCCATGCGGTTCGACCTCCAATCGGGCGCCACCAAGTGCATCTCCGACGACATAAAGAGCAGCTCCATGACCGTCGGCAAGTACGCCGTCGTCAATCCCAAGGAGGGATTTCCTATACCTGATTCGCATAAGCTCACTATCAGGGTAATCTCCAAACCATTTCTGTATCCGGGTCTGTTTCCATATCTGAAAATATGATCTGGGTTTTCTTTATTTACCAATTTTACAATTGGGTTTTGTGTTTAATCTTGTTTCGAATCTGTTTCGGAGTCGAATGTGGCGAAAAGATTGAATTTTTCAGATTGAAGTTTAATGTTTAGGCAAAGCATTGATTCAGAATTTGGATTTCTGTAAATTGGGTTTGATGATTTGCATTGTAAAGTTGGATTTTTTGGAAACAGTTTGGAGATTTGACCTGGTGGTGTTATTGGTTTGTAACAGGTGACCTCACCTTATGGAAGTAACTATCACTATGGGGATCATGTGGAGTCGGGTAATTTTGCGTTTACTGCTGCAGAGACTGGTGATTATTCTGCTTGCTTTTGGGTGTCAGATCATAAGCCCTCGACGACGGTGACGATTGATTTTGACTGGAAAACTGGTGTTGCTGCTAAGGACTGGTCCAAGGTTGCCAAGAAGGGGCAAATTGAAGTAAGCACTATTTTGATTGCACATTGATGCATTTTTTGTGTGTTTATGCCCCTTTTGTGAATTCCGGCATGAGCGTAAACTTGACTCTTTCATGATTGATACTTATATGAGGAAATGTGATGTTAGAGAACCTAAAATAGGAATACAAATGCTTGTTGATTACGAATGTATAATACGAAGAACGTAGGACTTCTAAAACTTGTTAGATTCACAAGAAGTACCAAGGAATTAAGAAAAAACTTTAGAACTCTTCTTTTAATGTAAAAACAATCAGCCTGTCTCTTGTGGGCTTCAAAGGCTCGTATTTATGGAGTTGGCATCCTTAAAGCGTTATGAATGGATATCGAAATATGAAAATCACGCAACATCCAAAACTTACCGTACATACTAAGTTCTGTTATTGGACAAAAGATAAGTAGCAGCCTAATCATATTTGAACAATGATATGTCGTATATCCTTGTTCTTATGATTCTCAATAATTGGTATTTTAATTTTTTTGTAGATTAGAGTATATTGATCAAAAGATATGGTTTTATGTCTTGTGCTGATATTATTTTTGTTCCTTGTGCTAGACGATGGAACTTGAGCTGAAAAAATTGTACGATACCGTGTCATCCATTCATGATGAGATGTTTTATCTTCGTGAAAGGTACCAAATCAATACATCTTGTGCTTAAATAGTTTCTGTACATGTGGCTCAGTTTCACAATTTGTTGTCTTCGCTCCGTATTCCTCTTTGTTTTGTTAATCGTCTTCCTTTGCCTTTAAAGTGATACCGTTTGAAATCTGAGCAGGACATATTAAGTTGGCTTAATAAAATGTAAACTCGTAGGCAGCTTTCTGTCGAAATATTGAACCTTATTTGTTCCCTCCCTCATCTCTTATACTTACTTTTGACCGTTCCCGTACTTCAGGGAGGAAGGAATGCAACAACTTAATCGATCAACCAACTCCAAGATGGCGGTTTTTAGCGGGCTTTCGCTTTTTGTATGCCTGTCAGTGGCTGGTTTGCAACTATGGCATCTCAAGATGTTCTTTGAGAGGAAGAAGCTCCTCTAGTTCCACATTGTATTTATTTTTTCAAATTTATTTCTGCAGTTACATACGCACACTAATTTTTGTTCCCTGTATTTTGATGCCAAATTGTAATTTGGGCATTGATTTGTTCTGCCGAGAGGTTAGCTTCTAGGAAGGAATCCTATCAATTTTTTTGTTTGTTTTGTTGAAACTGGTTTCTGTACTTTTTCCAGAGCCAGAAAACTGACTGACTTCATCAACATCATTGGGAAATTTAATATATCGTTGTATAAAAAACATTAGTTTATGTCACTTCGATTCTCGTACATAGGAAGTATGTTGTCGAGTTTGATTTCTATAACATTGTCTATGACTTTATGTATGAACGTGAGCTCCATAGTTGTGAGAGTCATATGACACGAGACTCATCAACTCATGAGATTCATATGTTAAACTCAATAAATGCACTCATCTCTTTACGTCTTAGATATTCCGGCTTACTGATTTCAATTTACAAAAATCGAAGTTGTTTTATCAGGAGTTGCTATTGACACTTTAAAAATGTTATTGTGCACTTATTAAGTAAATTTCTCGATTATGGTTTTACAAGTGCATGATAAAAACATCAATCTTTAAGCTATACGGTACAAATTGAACAATGTGTCAGTGACCAACGAACCCATGCAGCTGCCAGGGCAGCAACAATGGCAAGCAAGACTGAGCTTCAGCCTGGCCTACGTGGCCCAGAGCTGCCTCTCCATGACACACCTCAAGCAAATCCACGGCCGCGCGGTCGTCACAAACCTCCAGCACCACGTCACCGTCCTCGCCAAGATGTTCCGCTTCGCCGCCATCTCGCCCTCCGGTGACTTAAGGTACGCCCACCGCCTGTTCGATCAAATGCCCCAACCAAACACTTTCTTCTCCAAACACCCTCATCCGGGGCTACTCTAAGAGCTCGTCTCCGTCGCAATCGGTGGTTCTTTTCAACCAGATGAGGGTGAACTGCGTCGACCAGATGAGTTTACCTTCACGTTTTTGCTGAAATCGCGGTCAAGAATGAAAATTGATGCGGCTCCAATTGTGGGGTCCGATGAGATTCATGGGATTGCGTTGAAGTTTGGGTTTTGCGCGCATTTGTTTGTACAGAACGCATTGATTCATATTTATGGGGCGAGAGGGATACCGGTTGCGGCGTGGTCGAGTTTTCGATGAGGCAGTGGCTCCTGACGTCGTTTCCTTGTCTTCAAGATCTCAGGTACCGCCGAAACCTCCACACTCTCCGATGCCGGCGGTAGGGATGGCCTTCGCTTCATTCCTCAATCGGGGTGGCGGGCGTTCGCTAAGGTTTTGGGAACCACCGGGGTGGTGCTCGGCGTCAACCGGCGTCAACCGGCTACATTGTCGTTTTAAAAATTAAAAAAAATATATTTCTGCATCTGTCACCGCGACCGCTGAACTTCTTGGCCTCGCAGAGGGTCAGCACTTGTCGTCCGAGCAGCAGGATGACAAATGCAGAAGAGAGAAGCGAGGCCAGCGCCTAGATCTGGGAGGTGTGGCCTCCCCCTTTGACTCGGATCCTCATGTCGACGCCGGCGAAGCGCTGTCTTCCGAGCAGCAAGATGACAAATGCAGAAGAGAGAAGCAACGCCTTTGACTCGGGGCCGCCATGGTTGGTGCTATGGGGTTTGGGTGTAGAGGAGATGGAAGGGTGGAGCCGTGGAGGGGGTGGAGGGGATGGAGGGGTGTCAGGTGGGGAAGACGAAGGCGTTTTGGGGTTTTTATTATTTTTTATTATTTTTTAAATTTAATTAATTAATTTAATTTTTTAATGACACGGTCACCCACTCATTGTTTACATGGGCATCACGTCATCAGTTAACGGGAGACTTAACAGTTTGACTAACATATGTATGAGACTATCCCAAAAATTAACACTTTAGATATGACTCTAGGACGAAAAAAACTTCATGTACTAAATGTTGAAAAACATGAGGGTAGTAAACTGATATTTACCTTTTTTTATTTAACAACAAACCAGAACCATTAGCAACAACACACTTATAATGAACAATTTTGAAACCTCATGAGGTGTTCGTGTAATTTTTGAAACTAGAGGCATTTTGTGAAACCTTATAAACTCATGAGGTGTTTGGGAATATTGATTTAAAATACCAAGTTATTAATGAACATTTGGGTACTTTTATTTTAGTTCTTAGGTAGACAAATTTAATATACATGTAAGATGATGTCATGCAATAGAAACTATACAAATAAAATCCGAGGATTGACATTCGATAGCTGTCATTTTATATGTATATGGTTACAATTAAACCTCATGAGGTATTTGTGAATATTGGATTAAAATACCAAAATTGTCCCTGAGATTTGCATAACTCCTCACTTTGGTCCCTGAGATTTGAAATCAATACAAGTGGTCCCTGAGATTATCCACTATCAATCATTTTGATAATTCTATGAATAGTTATGTTAAATAAAGATTAAAATAACAAACCATCCTCAATTTAATAAACAATAGGCCAAAATAATTTGACAAAAATTGAGCGTACTTTTGTCATTTTATCTTTATTTAATGAAGATTTTTCATGAAATGATCAAAATGATTAATAATGGACAAATTCAGAGACCAATTAGATAAAAAGTCATTATTAAATGAGACTTTTTATACTAGTTCTTAGGTTGACAAATTCTAATATACATGTAAGTTGATGTCATGGAAGATGATGTCATTGGCTTTCGTTTAAGTGACCAAATTGGCGCGCCATTGAGGGTTGACAGGCATGAGCTTTCGTTTCGGTTTTGTTCCGTCTCCTACGATTTCGTTCCCTGTGGAGCTCCGCATCTTATCCCAAACCACTTTCTCTCGATCTTTATGGCTCCCTTTCATTTTTCTCATGTCCCTCTCTCCCTCAAAGTTCAATACTTTTCACTGCATTCTCTGTTGATTCAAAAAATCAGAGCTTGGCAGCGTTCGGTTTTCAAAAGGGTGTTGGGTTTGAAGAATATTTGGGGTACCAAATGGGGGATTCAGATCTCTCTGGAATTTTCAATCAGTGGTGATGAAACATTGTAACTTTTTAGTGGAATCTTTGGGATTCAATGTGAATTCAGTTAGGGTATTTTGGGGAGGGGGGGGGGGTGGGTGCGGTGTTGGGAGGTTTTGGAATTGAAGAATATGAAAGTGAAGAGGTGGAAGAAGATGCCGGTGTTGGTGTTGCAGAAGAGAGGTAAAGGTGAGAGCTTGCATTGCTGTCAGGTTGCACAAGGCTCCACCTCTCCGATCAGGAGAAAAACTTGTATGGAGCTCGACTTACCACTAGATTATATTGAGTGACATTACCACTCACTAAAAACTTGTCACTAGTTAAACCATATTAATAAAAGACTCCTTATTAAGTTTAATTAAAAACAAACAAAATAAATTTCTACATAATTAATTAGTTAATAAAAACTGGGTAACAAAAATAAAAGGTCTAAATCAATCCATGCCTAGAAATATACTTGAATCAATCCATGCCCAGAAATATATTTTTCAAGTCCGCCTCCAACTTACACGTTTTAATTTAAAATCTCTTTCTACTCCAACTTACCAAAAGTCAAGTTCCTTATGTTATCATAAAAATGAATCCAATCAAGGTCTGAGCAAGTGATTTAAATCAATCCATGCCTAGAAATATATTTGAATCAATCCATGCCCAGAAATATATATTTCAAGTCCGCCTCCAACTTACACGTTTTAACTTAAAATCTCTTTCTACTCCAAATTCCTAAAAGTCAAGTTCCTTATGTTATCATAAAAATGAATCCAATCAAGGTCTGAGCAAGTGATTTCTATTTTTTTCTTAATGGGGATCCATTTACTTAAAGAACGTATAGATATATATCAAAACAAGATGATTTATCAAATCCTCTCTTATTTATAGAAATTGATTTGTCCTCATGAAAAAAAAAAGAAAAAAAAAAGATAAAGTTGATAGTTAGAGAGCATATGCTCCTCAACATTAAAATTAGGGTTAATCTCTGTTTACTACTTTTAAGTTTATTGGTTTCTAATATTTGGTATATAAAGTTTTTTTCATCCCAGAGTGGTACGTGTAGTCATAATTTTGGGACACTTTCATAAATCCGTTAATGTTGCTATTAAATTAGCCGTTAATTGGTGACGAGGCGCCCACATGGACAATGACTGGGCGCCACATATCAATATGGGCCCACATGAATATTAAAAATAAAATAAAATTTTAAAATTAAAACATTAAAAGAAAATTATCTGAGATGAAAAAAAAAACTTCATGTACCAAATGTTGAAAACCAAGAAATTTTAAGGTAGCAAAATGAGATTAACCCTTAAATTAAAGGGAACTTTAACGAAAAACACCCGGTACTGCTCACTTTAACGAAAAACCACATTTTTACACTAAAAAATCAATCATGGTACTATTCATTTTACCCTTTATTTTGTCCTTATCGTTAAAACTCAAAGTTTTCAAATCATTTTCATTAATTTTCCTTAAATTAAAACAATTACCAAAGCTCTTGTTTATTCCAAATGATGAAGATCATAATCTAAGTTCCATTATCCATCTCACATAACAATAGAGAAATTAAAATACTCAGTCATTTAGGAGCAAATGCTCTCGGAACATCCTAGTTCCAGAGAAAGCAAATGTTATATGCCCTGTATTCCGGATTGAACCTGCATGGACCCGTTAGTACTATTCTATAAAAGCAATCATCACACTCATTAGAATCTCTAGATTGCATGTATATGTCGAAGTAGGGAAATACAGCCAGCCAGTCGAACTTGTAGAGGAATTGTGTACCACCCCAAATACTGGTCCCAAAGGAAAATTCGTAGGGAGGTGGATTGTACGCCCTTCCATTTCCATACTCTTTTCATCATTTTCTATTTGTGTGGTCATGGTCAAGCCACGTCAATATTTTATATTAATTTTTTTTTTTATAAAAATAATATAACAAAAAGTAATAAGAATATAAAATATTGATATGACTTAACCGTAACCACACAAAACAGGAAAAAATGAAAAGAGTATGAAAATTGGAGGGCAGACAATTCACCTCCAATTCGTAGTCACCTTTGAATGGAATCACATGAGTGCCAAGATCGTCGTCTTTGGATTTGCAATGGACGGTCAATTGTATATCTGGGCCAATATCGTTGGTCATTTTCACATGAATTACATCGCGCATAGTTACAAACAACAGCACTACAATTATGAGCAGAAACACATTTTTTATCAACAAAGCCGAATAATACTTGACTATTCAAAGATGAGTAGGAATTTCTACTTAAAATTTCTTAAAATTATTCATTGTCAATTTATAGAATTTCGTGTTTATAATCAGAACCGTTGATATTATAAATCATCATATAAAGATTGCTTATTGGTAAATGCATTATTGACCGTATATGTATTTGCTACTATAGATTGACTAAACGATCTTAGTTTTAATTTATTTTTTGCAGAGATAATCTTTACAATGTGATTCATAGTATAAACGGTTTTGATCATAAACATAAAGCTCTGTGATTAAAACACTAAGAATTTTGAGTAGGAGTTCCTACTCATCTTTGATGAGCCAAGTATTGTTCAACAAAGCCATACTGGTTTTATTTGTTGGAAGAATACTTCGATATATCATCATTTTTATAGTAGCAATTGGATATAAATTCTCAGCTAATACAAGGAAACTTAACAAATTAAAGAATTAGTCTCATACATATCTAGAGGATATAAATAATATTTAATTTGAATTTCAACCATGGATAATAGTTAATATGTTTTTTCAATTTCAAAATGCCATAAATGTTTTACTTAAATGGGAAAAAAAAAATACCAAAACATGAATCAATATAATCTTTGCAAGGCACCATAGAAACAAATAAATATAGACACCAACAATATAGATTTTTATAGCAAATATATCTTATAATGCAATGTACCTATATATATTATAATCTGATGTACCAAATTTATTTTAAATAACCTAAAAATACTAAAACAAATTACCATAAATGAATTATGTACTCAAATATATATTCATTTGGATGCAATATGTCAAAGTACAAAGAATCTAGGGCGGAGCCACCTTTGCGCTTGGGTGGCTCTAGTACAGTCCAGATCATTCCATCTGCGTGTTAAATCTAAATCCCTCCCCTCCCTCAATGGGGTTTATATATTTTATGTGTATACTGACGAGGGTCAAAGTATGATGAGTTAGGCTTTACTAACTTGTTACGCGGAAATCTAACGGGTGAAATCTACTCTTAAGAACCACAGCAAGTGGCATAGTGGTAAGAACGCAGATTGCGATTCTCCAATAAACAAAAAATGTGAGAGGTCCCAAGTTCTGTGCTCTGAGCTGGTGAGTTTACTGGACTCTGGCTACGGGTAAGGTGAAATTCCCCATAGCCTTTGAAATCTGAAATTGTGGATAATCATAGCTTGACATCATTTGTCCCCTTTAAAAAAAATTAAAAAAAATCTACTCTTTGAGAGACGATAAAATTTGATAGATAGAGAATATGCTCCTCAACATTAAAAAAATAAATAAAAAAAAAAAAAAAAAAGAAGACCAAATCTCTTGTTTATTCCAATGAAAATGATTAATCAAATCCCATCTTATTTTCTTTGATTCGAGAAATTTAGATTTGTGCTGATAAAAATGGAAAAAAAATAAAATAAAATAAAGAAGAAGACAAAATTTGATAGATGGAGAGCGTTTATATGCTCTCAAAATTACAATTAAAAATAACCAAAGCTCTTATTTATTTCCAAATGCAGAAGAGCAGATTTCACAAACTAAAATCAAATAATTAAGGAGCAACTAATTTCGGATGATCCTCGTTCCACTTAAAAGGTTCCCATGTCTTCTGATAAGGATTCCACCTGAACGGACCCTCTGGTCTTATACTCCATTTACATCTAACGCACCATTGCAAATCTCTGTCTTGTATGTAGATGTCGAAGTAGTGAGAATTTCCCGACCACTGGAATTTGCAGAAGAATAGTGTACGCCCAAAAGCATGGGTACCAAATGAAAATTCATAGGTGCCTTGAACAGGTACCACATGCGAACCAAGATCATCGTCTCCAGATTTACAGTGAACGGTCAACTCTGCACCCAAATCATTAGTCATTGTGACAGTGGAGTCGACTCCAGCGTCGCACATAGTTAAGAACAACACTAGAATCACAAGCAGAAAAACATTTTTGATAAACGAAGCCATGGTGATATTGTTTGGTTGAAGTTTAGTATAACACTAAATTTCTTTGTGGAAGAACACTTGGATGCATCCTTCTTTTATAGTGACAATTTGATATCAATTCTGAAATAATAATTTTATGTGGTTGTTTTGTCCCCAAAAATGCTCAAAATTTTTGGCCATATGAGAATACATATATGAAAAAAACAAAAAAAGCACATACACATTTAGAAAACAGTTTTGCTTACCACCATAAATTATGATGATGTTTACCATCATATTTATCACTATTAGCCACATACACATTTAGAGAAAGAGAATGCCAGCTACCTTTTCTTCTTACATTTCCCTACTTCTCTTTCCCATTCATTGCTTGTTCTATTTATTCCATTATCACTTAAAATTATGTAATTAATGGGTTGAAAACAAATTTACTTCATTTCCACATATACTCCTCATTAATTTTACCAGCTCTTTTACCATCATATTGTAATAAGGAAACATGCATCCACATAGTTATAATAGTCAATGCTTACAAAATATAAAAAAAAATTACTTTGCGCCCATGAATTCTATTTAGAAAATACAACATTTATTAATGATAAATAAGTAAATAAATAATATTTCAGTTATGTATTAGAGTAAACTTTATATTGTGATAAGTTATGTTTTTTCTTGGTCTCATCTTAAGAAAACACACCTTTACATATATTGGACCTCGTCTTTGGACCTCATCCCTAAGCCCATGACAAATGTAAAAGGGGAGGGAGCCCTTATTCTATAAAAGGGACTCCCTCACCCTCATGATTTAGACTGACATTCATAGCCTCACATCCAAAGGGTCTCAGATCCAACCCTCACAATAGAGGGCAATACCCTCTCAGCCAAATAGAGAGCAAAATGGCAAGGGTTGCATCCACAGAGAGCTCCCTTGCCGATCTATTGTAATCCATACATACATACATAATCAACATCAGTGTGGACGTAGCCCAAACATTGGGGTGAACCACGATACATCTTTGTGTTCTTGTGCGTTTGTGTGATTCACGGTCGGATTTACGTTGGCCCAAGATCCTCCGGATTTTGTGCATCAACAGTTATAATTGCCAATGAGTACAGAAATATGCTTGAAATAAAATACTTCACCCCCTAAAGAAATCTATTTAGGGAATACAACATTTATTAAGGATAAATAAGTCAATAAATATTTTTTTAACTACACTTCTATTAAGTAATTGTTGAACAGTATGAATTCACACCAAGAAAATGAGAGACTTTGCATGTGTTATAAGTAATTAGTCTACTCCGCATATTGCCAATTGATTTTATGGTGGAACCTCAATTTTCTTCATAGTACAGAGCATGATGTCCTGTGTGTGAAACATAACGGGCACACATGCTACATGCAACCCATTTGCATTGTCCACATGCTAGGCTTGCAAAATTTGCCACACGTGAGGGAGTGTGTTGAGAGTATGAATCCCACATCGAGAAACTGAGAGACTGTGCATGTGCTTATAATTTATATGTAATACCCCATATTTGACCCTTGATCCTAAACCCTATATATATAACATTTTTTGCATTCCTTTTAAGCCATTAGATTACATAACATCTAAGGGTTCTCATTTAATATTAAATAACATGAATGCTTACGTGGATTATAATTAACATTGAAAAAGAAAAAAAAACTGATAAAGAATAAAAACTAAAAAAAAAATTAAAAATTAAAAAGAGGAAGAAAACCTTGCGCACAAAGGCCTCCATTGATTTGTGCAAAATACCTTCAAAGTCTTTTGAGTTTTCATTCTCATCTTTCGGTAAAAACCCCAAAAACCTCTTTGATTCTATTTCAATTCCACACTCAGATTTAATTGTATAAAAAAATTGAGGGAGGTAGTGAGAGTTGTTTATTTAGGTTTTAGTTTTTGTCAATTTAATGAAAGAGCGAGGAACGAAGATTTGAAGCAGACTGATACTTGATTTGCTTTAATATCAAAATTTTGTATCCATCAATTGAATGAACGACACTAAGTTTGACAACGTGAATGATAGTTGGACGAAGCAATTCGGATGGTCGTGCTTCTGCTTTTGCATCCAAGACGAACGCCATTTTCATTTCTTCCTTGTGTTTGCATAACTTTTTATTTTTATTATTTCCTCAGTTTTTATTGTTTTCTTAGATTTAATTTTTATTTATTTCTTAATTATAAATTTATACCTCATTTAATGTTTAAAATCCTCTAGATAACTCTTAATCAAGACCGTTGAATATTACGAGATCTAAAGATTATAAAAGAGTGTAAAAATGTTTGTCAAAATCTTTGTCCCTTGATCCTATATACAAAAACCAGTTTAGCGCAAACGATTTATTAAATCCCATCTTACTTCAAGAAATTTGGATTTGTCGTCATAATAAAAAAAAGAAAAAATTTGATAGTTAGAGAGCATAGCTCGCCAACATTAAAATTAAAAAAAAAAAAAAAGACCAAAGTTCTTGTTATTCCAAATGATGAAGTTCATAATCCAAGTTCCATTATCCATCTCTCATAAGAACAAAGAAATTAAAATTAGGTAATTAAGGAGCAAATGCCGTCGGAACATCCTTGTTCCAGTAATAGCAAATGTTATACGAATTGTATTCTGGATTCAACCTGCATGGACCCGTCGGTGCTATTCTCCAAGTGCACTCATCACAACCTCCCTCATCTCTATCTTGTACGTATATGTCGAAGTAGCGAAATACAGCCAGCCATTCGAACCTGCACCAGAATTGTGTACGCCCCAAAAGATGTAACCCAAACGAAAAGTCATAGCTACCTTTAAAGGGAACCACATGAGTACCAAGATCATCGTTTTTGGATTTGCAGTGGACGGTCAACGGTATATCTGGACCAATATCGTTATACATTCTTACACGAACTGCATCACACATAGTTAGAAACAACGACACTAGAATTATTAGCAGAAACACATTTCTGATGAACCAAGAGATAGTGGTATTGTTTGTTGGAATATAACGCTGATTTTATTTGTGGAAGAAGATTCAGATATATCATATTTTTGTAATCGCAATTGGATAAAAATTCTCAGGTAATATAGGAAGCATATCAAAATAATCAGTCTCATACAGATTTAGAGAATCCGAACAAAAAATTCTTAGGTAATATAAGGACATAAATCCAATTTCATCTTGTGAGGAATCGACGGTTTTAACCTCATCTATTTCCGTCTAATTTTTAAATAATAATATGTTTAAGTTATCATGATTTATTTCTATAAACAGTTTAATTAAAAAATTATGTACTATTCTCGAAATTTAAATATTTAAGTTGAATAAGGTTTTAGTTTCAAATAGAGAGTATTTGAATGCGGTCCTTAGCCGCTAATACACTTTAACTAAAACCTTATTGATGATTTTCAAATTTTTATCAAATCTTTTGTTTTCTTCACAACCAAAAACAAAGAAATTTGACAAAAGGAGGACAAACTGGCTTTAGTTTTTATTAGGCACTTATATGGTTATGCATGTGTTCTTTGCAGATTTATGAAGGATTGCAAAAACTCACTTGATGCTCTGGAAATTGCTTGGTGATTCTATTCGGCAGGCTTTGAAAAGTCTCATCATTTTGTTCTTGGTTATTTTTCCCTTAATGTGTATTTGTCCTATTTGTACATTTGGTACAAGTCTATCTCCTTATTATTTTGTTTGTTGTCATCTATGAGAATGATTTTTTATTATTCGTGTGATGTTTTGAAGGATGAATAAATAATAGATTTGGCATGAGTCGTCATGTGTGTAACTGTGTAAGATAACTTTCTTTGTTTTCATTTAAAAGGGTTTACAACGACATCGATTATTTATGTTGATTGTTAACGTAGAGATTGGATTCAATGTATTTGATTGAATTGTTTGTCTCATTATTTATTGTTTACAAATGAAATTCTCCCCTGGGTGTTGTGCGCTATGAAAACTCAATTTTTAAGCAATTCAGACTCTCTTAAATAATTGCTATTTTTTTGTACATTTTGTACAACTTTGTCTCCTTATATTAATGATATTTGTTTGTCTCATTATTTTTTTTCATACCACTATTTGGTTCCATGCTGTATTTCTTCCTTTATTCTTTGTAACCTCTGAGAACGTGCTTTCATGCGTGCAAAGAGCCTTTCTTAAAGAGCACGTAGCGCCCGTAATTAAAAAATAGGTTAGTAGTTAATTAAACAAAATAGTTTTTGTAATGAATTTCGTTGATTGTTATAAAATAAAATTCGAGGAAAATATCGAAACACAAAGGGATGTCATCATCATTCAACAACTCCCAACATAAAAGGCATATAACAATCCAATCCGGTTTTAAGGATGTTTATATAGAAGCAACGATGCTCACACAACCACACACTTGAATTCGGAAGGCCACAGTTTAGAACTTTAAATGTTTATAGTACACTCACTCAAACATGTTGCACAATACCACTCAGAGGAAAACATGCCTAAACCCTTTTATTTAGTGGCTAATTAAGTACGGCATGCATCTCCGTTAAAAGGGCGACGAGTACTATGATCACTCATCGTCATAGCTCTTGCGATGGTGGTGCTTGTGGCGGCGCTGCTTTTTCTCCTCATCGTCATCTGAGTCGTCATTTCCCTGTCATAGTCAGATAAGAGAATCAGATGCAAATAACGCAAGTCAGCCAACAGTGACGGGCAAATACCAAAGACTACAGAAGGGTAAGGTTGATAGGAAACAGAAACATCAAAGACCTATATGCATTGCATAGATTCGAGCTTTTCAAAACAAAATTGAGGACACGTTCGGAAACATCATGGGATTTAAATTGTCTAAACCTAGAACAACAACAACAACGTTGAGGCAAAACAATGCACCCAATTTTGTCGAAACAACAACAACGTTCATATGATTTGTACGTGAGCACAGATTAAATGTATGTTTACGAACTAATGAAACTGTATGCTTACGAACTAACACACTAATACATCTAAATCACTAATGATAATGTCATATAGAAGACAACTTGATCGTTTGGTGTCTAATTTTCGATATGATAGAATTTTCAAGGTATGGTGAGGGGATTAGACATGCCGAAAACTTAAGCTCTTCTAATCCTACCATTTCGGGGGATTGGAAGGGATAAGTCTTAACGAATCCATCCTGGTACCTTCGAGTTGGACAACAGTTTTTCATTTTCTTATTAAACATACGTTGAATATAATGAGTCGTCCAATCCAATCCTAAACATCAACGAATCCTAAAATGTTCATCACCCAACATTATAAGCCTTGAATTAACTCAAATGAAGCAATCCGCTTATCATTAATAATTAATATAATGACCATGAATGTAAACATATAAATGACATTTAAAAGAGCGAGGTTCTCACATATTTCTTGCGACCATAGCCTTCTTCACCGTACTTAGGACGCTCGGAATCAGAATCATCGTCGCTGCGCCTCTCATAACCACCAGGGCGGCGGTACTCCTGCTCCTCGCTCCTTCCATAACTGGGCTTCTCATACTCCCCACTTTCCTGGCCCTCGTAGCCGGGCCTCCCATAGCTTGGCCTCGGGGGTGGCGGCTCATCTCCATAGCCGGTCCTCCTCGGCGGTTCTTCGCCGTAACCTGGCTTCTCAAACTCAGTCCTCCCATAGCTCGGCCTCTCCTCGCTTTCTGGAGTCTCATAACTGGGCCGCCCATAGGTTGGCCTTCTCGGTGGCTCTTCTCCATATCCACCTTCCTCACCATAGCTTGGCTTTCTCGGCGGCTCATCGCCATAACCAGATTCCTCACCGTAGCTCGGCTTCCGACCATACCCAGATCCGAATTCAGCTGGCGGTGCTTCAAACTCGGGCTTTCTCCCGTACCCAGATTCATACTCGGGTTCCGGTGCCTTATACTCGGGCTTTCGACCGTACCCAGATCCATATTCGGATTCCGGCGCCTCGTACTCGGGCTTTCGACCGTATCCAGATCCATACTCTGGTTCCGGTGCCTTATACTCGGGCTTTCGACCGTATCCAGATCCATACTCCGATTCGGGCGCCTCGTACTCCGGCTTCCGACCATACCCAGATCCATATTCGGAGCCGGGCTCATCGGATTCGGGCCTGCGTTGATACCCAGACCCGTATTCCGAACCGGATTGTCCATACTCCGGCTTCCGACCATAACCTGATTCGGGCCTAACCTCCCCGCCAGGCTGGAACCCATAGGCCGGCTGGGGCCTGCCTTCGTACTCTCCCTCTGGATGTCCCCCGCCCGGATTGAACCCGACAGCTGGTCCAGGTCGGTGCGTGGGTCGGGCGTAGTGAGTGTACTCATCTTCGAGAGCCTCGTCAGCGTAAGCGGCGGGCTCGGAGTAGGATGAGAACTGGGGGCGATCGTAATCGAAATCATCGGACGGCGATGAGTTAGGGTGGCAGGACTCATCGGATGGGTCGAGAGGGCGCCCGTAGGTCAGGTATATGTCGTATCCGCCACCGTACGGCGTCGGATCGTACTCGTCGAAGTCGGTGACTTCATCCTCGGCGTGGGTATAGTACGGCATCGTTTTGGAGGGAATTTGGTCTTTGAAGTGCGACTGTCAAAAGTGATGAGGGGATGCGTTCTGGGTGATGTGTATTTATAGTTGTCGACGATTTTTCGCCTTTGGAAAACCGCGTCAGGTCGTTGCCTTCTTGTTAATGACACGCGGACGGTTTTTATTGGGCCGTCATTTTGTAAACCAATTGACATAACTTGGGCTTAACCAATCATTGATCCTTATCCGAAATTTTTAGTGGGGCCTTGTGGACAATTTTGTGGGCCCAATGAAATGGTTCGGATTTCCCTCCCTTTGGGCTTATACCGTATTTGACCAACATACTTAGTACAGTACTGATTGAAATAATTGGTACAATCAGAGTTGTTAAGCGAGGCTTAAATATGTGGTTTTGCCACCATTACATGGTGTGCTTTTTGAATTAGTATTTATTCGATGAGTAATATTGCTGAAACTATGTCTTAAATTTTATGGATGACATGTTTTTGATAAAATTTTGAGAAATAAAAAACTTAATTTACTTTCAAAATTTTGAGTGAGGAAGACGCTTTATGTGCCTCTGCCGCTGTCTGCCGTACAGAAGAATCTCTCCTCAAATTGAATACTAGTTAATTATCCGATTAATCAAACTAGGAAGACTTGTACATGTGTGTAAATATTTTTCAAGGCAATAAAACAACAAAAACTTGATTCATTGCGTGTAGAGACAATACATCATTTGTAACAAATGAGGATCTTTTTTCGGATTCTCTTTGTTAGGATCCCGAGGATCCTCCAATCACGTACGTTCATCGTAGATAGTGCAGTAAGAAGTTATTGTAAATTTGTTTATTTAAAATTGAATATAAACCGTACCTGACGAAAACTATCCGTACGATGTATGATGAACAGATGTGATTGAATGATCCTTTGAATCCTTACAAAGAGGTTACGAAGAGGATCCTCATTCATTTGTAACGATCATAATTTGAGATAAATTTAAATCAAATTAAGAAGGATGGAACAGGATATGAGTACCCGACGGATGTTAGTTACTGAATTGCTTGGTCGCTAGTACAACATCCCGGCCACCACGACGAAGACTTCATGCATGCAACAGTTAACAACACAACATTTAGATACAAACACCTAAACAAACACTATGTATAATTGTATGCATGTCATTTGATGTGCATGTATAGTTGTTTCTCTCATTCCGCTTAAGTAATGCAATACGATAATAAACACAAACATACGTGCTTGTCATTCGACAAACCTAATCCCAAATTTTAAAACGTTTGATGTTTATGTTTTTTAATGTGTTTATCTCTTTAATCACGTGCAAGACGGACAAGTAAACACATAAAACTTGCGTGCATGTTTACTAAACAGATAAAGGAAGATTCCAAATAAAGAAAAAAGAGAGTAGTGTCTCACCAATTTTTTGCGACCATAGCCACCTTCGCCTGCTGGAGTACGCTCCTCGTCGTCAAAAGACTCGCTTTTCCTCCCCTCTCTCTGTTTGCGGAACTGGTCGCCCTCGTGCGATGGTCGGGCGTAGCTGCTGTACTCCTCTTCCAAAGCCTCGTCGTCGTACGCAGACGGCTCATTGTACGACGGGAACTCCGGCTCATCGTAATCATCGGAGGCCGACGAGTGACGGTAGCACGTCTCCTCCGAAGGTTGTAAAGGCCGGCCATACGTCAATCCCATGTCGTATCCCCCCTCGTACGGCGTCGGGTCGTACTCGTCAAATATGTCGGTGTCGTCGTCGGTATCCTTCTCCGAGTAGTACGAGCGGTAATGCGCCATTATTATTTAATCAAGGAGATTGACTTTTCCTAATGGTGATCAACTCCAAATGTTATTAACGAATGACAACGAGAATAATATTATGTCTTAAATATTTGTTAATGCTCCATACATGGTGGTTGACAATTTCTCCTGCGAAAATACCGTGTCAGGAATTTACACTACTTCATTCCCATTGTTTGCCGGAGACTTTTACTGTGGTCTGCATTATTTTGAGGGTTTTGGTTAAATTTTGTCCATGTAATTATTGGATATTACTAATTATTTGCACCTTATCAAAATAATGAGGCTTTTAATAACGTGGTCGTGGGTTCAACTCTTACCGACAGCCCTAAATATTAATGTACAAAATTAGTAAGACTTTGGAACAATATTAAGTGTTAAGGTTATGACCTTCGCAAGGTTACTCCGGTCACTAATTGTAGGTAAATATGTAGAAATGTAAAGATAAGGAAACAAACACAAGATATACGTAGTTCACCCCAAATTGGGCTACGTACACAAGGGTAGATGAATTCTCATTAATAGTGAAGAGTTTACGCAGTATATAGGTTCAAACATAATCATCAATACTGAGTTCTATAACGAGTTCAAATACAATAATGACATTAGGGATTAATTGTAGGAAAATTGTCTCTTTTTGTAGTTGAGGAGAATCTCCGGATTTCGTCCGCGGTCAATGTGGGACTCTAGGGGCTTTCTTCTAGTGTTGGCATGTATTGTGTTGTGATTGGCCTCCTCGTTAGAGAGAAACTCTTGTGCTTCGGTAGGGATGCCTCAACATGAATTCTTCAATAGGTCCCTAAAAGTATGAAGTTGATCGATACTTGGTGGTTTCAGAATTGGTGAAGTATGGTACAAACAGAATTAATTGGAATTGAATATTGGTAACGTATAAATTAAATGTCGACGATGGAGTAAAAAGTATAAGGGAGATTGGTTATTTTCACTACTAACGATTAACGTTATAACATACCCACAACCGTGAGCCATAAAATCTCACATGTGACACCAAACTGACAGCTCCCACATGTATAATTTGCGTAGAAATTTACAGATTGGACCAAACACGTAACAATCATATATCAAACGCATACTGGTCATTTCAGCAATTAAAACTTAAAAATATCATTTCGGCCAATTTTCACACTGCATGGCCTCAAGTTTGGGCTTCATGATAAAGCCCATTTAAGAGGATTTTCTGCGTCTTATCTCCGCCACTGTCATTGTCGGTCGGCCTGGGCCGATTCTCTGCGTCTTATCTCCGCCACCATCGATTCAATTGCCACTGCATGCAAGTAAAAGACACAAACATTAACGAAATTCCCACTTCAGATACCTCCCAGATCATCAGAAATGGCGGCCCTCGTCCTCAGGGTGGCGCAGGACGGCTCCGGCGACTTCCGGACGGTGCAGGAGGCCATAGACGCCGTCCCACTCTGCAATACCCGTCGCACCGTGATTCGCGTCGCTCGCGGCATCTACAGGCAGCCGGTGTACGTGCCCAAGACGAAGAACCTCATCACGCTCGCGGGTCTGGCTCCGGAGCTCACTGTGCTCACCTGGAACAACACCGCCACCAAAATCGAGCACCACCAGGTGAGGTACTACACTTTGTTAATGCTACCCAGTTGGGTTTTTGACACGTGGATGAAGGGTATTGTTTTGCTGACGCTGTGGGTTTTGGTAGGCTTCTCGGGTGATTGGGACTGGGACTTTCGGGTGTGGGAGTGCTATTGTGGAAGGAGAGGATTTTATTGCAGAGAACATTACTTTTGAGAACTCCGCTCCTGAGGTTAGCTTTGTTTATGTTTTCATCACTTAGTTTTTACTCGAAGTTTGCATCTTTTGATTGCTTTTTTGTATATTGAGCATGGTGAAACTTGTAGTTTGAAGTTGAAATTTTGAACTTGTTGGTTTGTGTTGGTTTCGTTTCGTTTCGTTGTTTTCTATGGAGTGTTATGAATGTTGGAGTTACTGTTTTCGTTAGATGACGCAGGTTTTTGAAATCTTGTTTGGGAGTGAAGGAAAGTGAAATGATGTGATCGGAAGACAAGAAGATTTTTCCTTTTTGTTTTGATTAGGGAAAACCAGGTTTGGCATGTTCAGCCAACACAAAAATCTCATTTTCTGTACAAATTTCTGTACTTTTGGAAATGGATAGAAAATGTGAGAAATGAAGCTGTAAAAGTCCGTCCTTCTATTTTTTTTTTCGGTTTTACTGATAGCCAACTTCCTTGTCATTAGAGAAGTTGGGGAATGTTTAAACTTTGTTGTTAGAGGTTGGAAATGTACAAGGTTATGTCTTTTATGGTAATACAAAAGTCCTTTGAAGTTTCCTTCACTTTCACTCTTCCTTTCACTCTTTGAACTTCATTCACTCTCAACATTTGCGTTTAACTTTTTCTTCCCATTGTTTTGTTCGGTAGGGTTCAGGTCAAGCTGTGGCAATTAGAGTAACAGCTGATCGATGTGCCTTCTATAACTGCAGGTTCCTTGGATGGCAGGTATACCCATTGCCCCAATTAGTCTGTTCATTTTCTTAAATTTCTTGTTGGGTTCAAACTTTTACTGTTTTTACTGGGTAATCACGAGTATTTGAGGATAAATGAGAGCAGTTATCAGTCTAATTGGTGGGTTCCTTCGAATTTTAATGCAGGATACCCTGTACTTGCATTATGGAAAACAGTATCTGAAAGATTGTTATGTTGAAGGAAGTGTGGACTTCATTTTTGGCAATAGCACGGCGCTTCTGGAGCATTGTCATATCCACTGTAAGTCAGCAGGTTTCATAACTGCCCAAAGCAGGAAATCTTCCCAGGAAACAACGGGATATGTATTCTTAAGGTATGTCAGTTCGCTAACCTTTCGCCCATCTTGGTTGAAGTTGCTTGTGGCTTACACAAGCAATTGATTCATAACTATGTTTTGTTATATCTTTGCTTGGAGAAGTAACTATCTCGTAAAACGAAAACAGCGAATGGAAAAGAAAGAATAATGATACTTATGCTATAATATTTGAATGGCGGTGATACTCTCTTGACTTTTTAGACTTTCCGGTTTCCCTGTGTCTTTCTGATACAAGTTAGAGTTCCATACTTTCTAAGACAACATTTTATAACTTATCTGATTGACTCAAGATAGGATGATTGTGAATGATTAGAGGAGTTTGTCTACGTTTTGCTTTTCCATTGATTAATTTTCTAGAAGTCACTTGGTTGTGTTTTCGTGTACTTCATTGATGAACAATTGGTGAATTGTTTTCTTTTAATTAAAAAACCAACCCTGTTTTCTTGAATTGTTGCAGATGTGTAATCACTGGAAATGGAGGGACTTCATATGCATATCTGGGACGACCGTGGGGACCTTTTGGAAGAGTTGTTTTTGCGTATACATTTATGGATGGATGCATCAAACATGTAGGATGGAATAATTGGGGTAAAACAGAGAATGAACGAACTGCTTGCTTTTATGAATACAGGTATACATATTTAGTCCATCTGCATTGTACTTCTATTCTACAGTGCCTCCGTTCGGTAAATTTGTAATTGTTGTTGAATACCCAAATATGTGATAGAAAATTTAGGTAACTGAAGAAATTTTCACATTACAATACTATGGACATGGACTAGAATAACTTCGGAGGAACGTTGTATCTTTTCAAACCAAACTAGTTTATCTTTTAGATGGTTCATGTGGGGGTACCTAAAACTAAATTAAACAGAACTGACATGGGAAAGATGTTTGAATTACTTTAATCGGGTTCATCAGGCTTTTCTTTTTCTGAAGATTATATCCTCTCAGGTTGTGACTTAGTTTATCTGCTCTTGTGCATAGCAACTTCTTGAAATACTGATTATTGTTGTAAGTTTAATGTTTCTTTCGAGTGCGTGAATAGAGGCAGAGTTTGATAAGCTTGTATCATTGAATGCAAATTTCAGGTGTTTTGGACCGGGTAGTTGCCCATCCAAACGGGTGACATGGGCAAGAGAGCTGGTAGATGAGGAAGCAGACCAGTTCCTCCAGCATCGTTTCATTGATCCTGATCCAGGAAGGCCTTGGCTTGCTCAGAGAATGGCCCTAAGAATACCGTATTCTGCCTAGGAGTTAAAAACATGGGAATGATCCCAACAAAGATAGTCGAGTATATTGAAAACATTTTACGACGAAAGAATAAGATATGCAACATAGCTATTTCAAATCCTGTGTTCTCAAGGTGCAAGAGGCGTTACACGGTCACTTTTAGCGTTTAAGCTTCGTATCAGATGTAATTGCTTGTGCTGAAGAATTCGTTTGATTTGGCTTTTAGGTTTGTCCAGGATAATATAGATCAACTTGTTCTGTTATGTGTATTCATGTTTGGCCTGCAACATGGATGGTTAATGTGTGTACTTTTCTTGTGATGAAAAACCCCCTTTCCCTTTGGACCTTCGACCGATTTAACGCCAACTTGAAGGACGATACTTGACCTTTATCTTGCAGAGCTGTTACAACAGACGAATGTTGGATAACTGTTTTGGAGTGTCAATGACAGTATCATTGTTTTAAACGACACCATTAACAGTCAGTTTTGGTGTCCATAGATACTTATGCGCAAGGTGATGCATGCTATGGCTAGGGAACATGAAGTCTTGTCCAAGCCCCCCACCATCACCAATCACCAATAAATAATAGTATCATCGTCTTAAACATCATTTAACAGTCAAATTTTGTCCACAAATACTTATGCACAAGGTGATGCATGCTATGGCTAGGAAACATGAAGTCTTGTCCAAGCCCCTCACAATCACCAATCAATAACAGTATCATCGTCTTAAACGACATCATTTAATAGTCAATTTTGGTCCATAGACACTTACGCACAAGGTGATGCATGCTATGGCTAGGGAACATGAAGTCTTGTCCAAAGCCCCTCACCATCACCAATCACCAATCAATAACAGTATCATCGTCTTAAATGACATCATTTAATAGTCAATTTGGTCATAGATACTTAGTCACAAGGTGATGCATGCTATGACTAAGGACACATAGAAGTCTTGTCCAAGCCCTTCACCATCACCAATCACACCACCACATACATCCAATTGGAGTAATATATTTTTGTACTTTGTAAGTTTTGGGCTGCCCTTTCTTGTTTTGGTGAAAGTGAACCACCTCCCAATCCATATCCATCAAATGCAACCACCTTCCCATCCACCCTCATCAAATGCACTTCCCCTATTGTACTCTAGACTTAATATTCTCTTTTTTGGTTTTGGTATAAACAGTCACACACTTGACATTTCAAATCTTTCAAGTCAGCTTCATGCGTAATGGTTTTCGCATGATCTTTTTCTTTTTCTGTATACGTTTAATTATATTTATAGATTTTCTTTTGATTTATTCATCTCAAAAACTATAAATAAACAAAAGTATTCAAAGAAAGAAAACACACATGCGGAAATCACTTCCCTACTTCATGTGCAAAAGATTAATCAAGTAGAGTGGTTCATTAATATTCTCATCTTCCTAATCAATCGAAATGGAAATGCTCGAAAATTCTTTGTGTAGGGTGCTTGTTTTCTCATTTAGAATGAACATAGTCATATTGTCACAAATGCATCAATAACATGTCGATACACTTTGTTGGCAACAACGATATGAAAAAACATTCTTCATTAGAAAACAGGCATCCGTCCCATCGCCTGGACTAGGGTTCTAGTATCCCATTCCTAGGCACAACAAAACGTACTTAAAACTATGTTTGCAGAAGCAGTTGCATGTAGTAGAGCACCCAATGCGTTTCAGGCTGGAGAATTTGAAGGGTAAGCCGATCAGGAAGCAGGAGAGGATTTGCCACGCCGAAGCGGTGTTAAAATCAAAGAAGACGAAGCACAGGGAGCCTTTAACCTTCTACTTTAGATATACAATTGATGCTCCTTTCAATGAATCTCCTGCGGTACTCTCTCTCTCTCTCTCTCTCTCTCTCTCTCTCTCTCTCTGTGACACACGAACACAAGCACAATCAAACTCACAGAAACACGCTCTTGCATAACTTGCAGGCTTCATCTTGGAGGACGAACACCGGGTTTTTAAAGCGGTTTTTCCGGACATAGCGAAAACCAAAATAATTAATGGGCTGCCTACTGTTCCATTTTCGTGTGTTAATATTACTCTAACATCCTAAACTTCTATGCAAATTTGAACTTCTGCTCAGTTCCTTGTCATCCTTTTATCAGTTGGGTGAAATTTAATTATTGACAAATCACGAGAAGAAAAGAATTTGCCTTGTAACCGGTTGTGTGTCCCCTTATGTCTATCTCCCCCATAATTAACGTGATATATGATCACATAGAGAGAGAGAGAGAGAGAGAGAGAGAGAGAGAGAGTACTCGCACTTGAAAATTACACGAGAAAATATCCTACCGGGATAGCTAGATCAGTGTCAAAATGAATGTGTTTGCAGGAAGAGTGGAGAATTCACACGCCGGCCATGCAAGTCTTGTTCCTGTCTGTCTACCTTGCATTATACGTCAAGTTGAGATGCAAATCCATGAGCTTGACATTGTAGCACACGATAATCCATAATGCACAAACACACACAAGCCTCTCCGTAACCGGGATCCCGCTCAACTATAGGTGGAATGGATACATATCAACGATGATATCAACAGTTATTCACTGTTGGTGCATAGTTCATGTTATATTGACAATAATACAATTATTGATATGTTGTTGATAAAGATCCCTCTCATCTACAGTTGAGCGAGATCCCACTTTAAAAAGGGCTACATATTATAACAAAAAAAAGTATGTCTTTTTTTCTTTTTGTAGACAAGATGGGAAATCCTAGGCCCAGCTGAGTACGAGCCAAGTGACTTTAACCTCAGTATCAAAGGAACCTTATTTTCAGATAGACACACAAAGCTGGCTCCAAAACACATTTGATATAAACTTGAGCTTTATCGTCTCGCCTCTCTTGGCTTGGGTTCCTGACAATGTCATGCGAAGCATTACAGAATCGGTGAGTTCTTCACATTTGATGGAATTGTGGGCAAGCATGTTCCGTAACCGAATCAATGTTTTCGATTGAAGCAGCTGGTGGCGACGGTGATGGACGACGTGAAGTTGGATGCGGTGTTGCTATCAGATTATGACAAGTTCAAAACAGAGAAGCTCAATATTGAAGTCTAAAAAGCACTACAAAGATAGAGAGGTTGTCTTTTATTCGTTGTATTATTAAATGTGTTAATGTGTCAAAGTTTCTTAAGATATAATAAAATTTGAAATTGTTCGTGAGAATGTGTCATCAGGAACTAGTTAAGAAGCGATTTTAGGAGAGCGGGAATTGAACTCAAGACCTCGGTTTCATTGATTCATATCAAAATTATCTCGGTTTAATTGATTCATATACAAAATTATCCCAGATAAAAATGCAAAAAAGGAGACAAAGATGGAGATGCAGGGGATCGAACCCTGTACCTCCCGCATGCAAAGCGGGCGCTCTACCATTTGAGCTACATCCCCAACTTGATATTCTTTGCTAGATAATAGCTTTAGATCCAAAAATATCACGTATGAAACTCCGCAAAGTACTTATATAAGATGATATTCTAAACTACTTTAATTTATGAGATATATATTCAAAACTTGATGCAAGATAGGACAATATTCTAGTCAACGGACCTAACTTATATACATGTGACAACTTTTAAATGAATAGAGTAGACACTTCTTTTTTTTGTTTCTCCTGCAATCTTCTCTTGTTTTTGTCCATTAGTTCTCCTCTAATTCATTCAATTTACCAGCTAGTAAAAATTATAAAATTGCGAATGAAAGTGAAAAAAATCAGCCTAAAGAGAGCTGAGTCGTCATTACCACTATATAATCTTCTTCTTCTTCTATAGATAAAGGGAGAAGACAAAAACGGTGATTTTTTCATAATACCCAAATTACCCTTCTCTCGTAAGAATTAAAAAATCCACTCATAATGAGACTCTGGGTGGTTACGTTCATTATTTTTCATAACCAACGAAAGGGTTTCCTTCAAAATTCACAAATAGGCCAAAACAAATCTAATCGACCACCAATTGCATTGTTTACATATCACCAGTAATCAGAGCAAGAACAAGAACCTTGCTTGAAGCAATGAAATCGATTCCGATCTCTGATCACAATCTCTCGGTTATACACATGGGAAACTATTTTCATAGCCGAATGACAGTCTACACATATGCGCAGATTCTTGAAAATGTAAAGAGGCGAGCCAGATTTCGTGCTTATAAGCCCAAAACAGACTGCCAGCTTTTCGCTGTGGTGGAACAATGCCTGCTCTATCTCCTCCTGCTTATCTGCATCATCGTCTCCATTGTCAAAGCCGGAGAAAACTTGAGAATCGGTATTTGGGATGTAGCCTGCCAATCTCAATCTTTGTATCATCTCATCCAATTTCATGTAAATCTCCGTTGTTTTCGGGTGTGACTTATCTCCTGCGCTGAACTGATGAACTTGGCCACCAATATAAATTGAACTTATTCCGGGAAGCTTTCTTAAACCCCTATTCTTAAGATCCTGCCTCAGTAGGTTTGCCTTGTCCTGCTTTCCTCCCAAAGAATACATGTTTGAAAGCAGGACGTGATAATCTGTGTTGTGGGGATCCAATTGAACCAGTTCTTGCAGCACACGTTCACCAAGCTCTAGTTTTCCGTGGATTCTGCATGAACCGAGAAGGGAACCCAAAACAACCTCGTTCGGAGGCATTGGCATTTGCTTGATCAAGACTTCAGCCTCTTCCAAATGACCAGCCCTTCCTAGAAGATCAACCGTACAGGCATAGTGTTCTATCTTTGGAGTTATGCCGTAAGATTCAAGATTGTGAAAGTAATGCCGGCCCTGATCAACAAGGCCCGAGTGGCTGCAAGCACTCAACAAAGCAACAAAGGTCAATACGTCTGGCTTGGCTTCTTCAAGCATTTGAAGAAACATATTCAAAACAAGTTTACCCCTTCCATGCATTGCTAAACCACTGAGCAAAGCGTTCCATGTCACCTCGTTCCTTCGGTGCATTTGCTCAAAAACTTTTAACGCGGTGTCTACTCTACCACACTTCGCATACATATCAACCAATGATGTGCCAACCATGATGTCAATCTCATTCACCATAGTCTTTAAAGCATAAGCATGAAGCCAACTGCCCGTCACCCTATCTCCCGATTGTGCACATGCCGATAAAAACGAACAGAGGGTGACATAATTTAATCTCAAACCACAACCGAAAACCATTTCTTCAAGAAGCGAAAAGGCTTCGCCGATAAGCCCAATACTCATATATCCAACAATCATAATCGTCCAAGCAACCTCATTTCTCTCAGGCATTTGGTCAAACACCACTCTCCCATTTCCCACGCCTTCGAATTTAACCACACCATCCAAAATCACAGTCCACGACA